TTCAAATACTTAGACCTCCATTTTTTTTTTCATTTGATACAACAACAAACCAGTTGGATAGCTTAAAATGAGAGATGGAGATTGGTTCAGTCATCTACTGAGCTTCCATGGTGGACTTCAGCTTGTGCCTTTCAGGTTTTAGTTCAAAATCTTAATCACTGCACAAATTGGCTTTCATTGACTTACTTGCCCTCCACAACCAAGTTGGTTGTCTTCTTTGCAGCTGATGGACAATGAACATGCATAGTATGTGGACACCATGTCCATGGAGTCTCCTTTGTAATTATTCTCCCCCTCACTCATGACTCGTGGGGAAAAAAACATTTTACTTAAAATCTAGGAAGGAACAATCCTCAAGAGCAGTTCCTTTCTGTGCAAGTGACATAGAAAGGTACCATATTTTTCGGAGTATAAGACGCACCTTTTCCCTCCTAAAAGGGGGTGAAAATTTAGATGCATTTTATACACTGAATGTAGCCCCGCCCACCCACTGTCCCCCACCCTTTGGCCTCTGCCTCTGCTGCAGTTTACCTCCTGCAGCAAGCAGCAAGAAGAAACAGCTCATTTCAGCTTCAGCACAGCCTAATTAGCACAAGTTGATTGGATTGGCCTCCCGACTCTCAGCTGTTTTGCTCTCAGCTGTTTTGTGCGGGCCTCTGCTGCTTGCTGCAAGGAGGTAAATTGCTGGGAGCAGCTTTTTTTTTCTTGTGCTAATCAAGCTATGAAAACTAAAGTAAAGCAGGCTATTTGCTGTTTGCTGCAACAAGGCAAAATTGCTGGGAGGCAGAGGCAGATTTCTTTTTCTTGTTTTCCTCACCAAAAAAGGTAGGTGCTTCTTATAGTCTGGAGCATCTTATACTCCGAAAAATACGGTAATACTAGAAAAATAAACTTTGAACATCCTAACAGCAACAAGAATAAAAATAGTAATAGGCCTAATAGGACTGTCAAATTAGAAAGGTATAGTTTTGTGGCTTAGAGATAAAAGCGGAGATACTTTTTTTCCCTATAATTTTTAGTTTTAGCTCTGAGCAAATTATAAAAAGAGCTTCTGGGGAGAAAAAAGGAGAAACAAATATGCCATGCTGCTCTCTGCTGGTAGATTATTTTTGCTGCTGTTACATTGCTATCTAAATTGTTTAACTAAGCACGTAATGCATGTGCTGTTTCGATATTGATATAGTCCACAGAAGTTTCAAGTTAAATCCCAATGTTAGGCAGGAACTGGGTGTGTGGGGGGGAAATGTTTACTCTTCTGCAAGTCCTCATTCCAACGCTGCTAGTGCTAGTGCTTGAACAAGCAAAATTATCTTTTACCAAGGAATTAGAAGCAGTTGGCAGCCCTGTGTTAGTATTTTGTATTTTGTATAACTGAATTCCATATTTCATTATATTTATCCATACAAAATCTACATATACAGGCAATCCACTCATAGGTGGCAAATGCACTCAGGAGTCCACTGAATAATTGGGGACATACGTTTATCTTTCTAATGTTGCAATATCAGTCTTTTGGTCATAGTAAGGGCTTGAAAAATCTATCTACATTGTCCAGTTAACATATTAGGTATGTAATTCAACAGAATATTACCTTCCGAAAAATTAGCTTTTGTCACAAATAGTCCAACATTTTCTCTAAAAATTAAGTAAAGGACATTATAAAAATGTGTGTTTTAAAGAAGCACTGTCCATATTACATCTCCAACAGAGTATTTGTATTAGTTTGTTCTTTTCTATATAAACATAATAGAGTCCAATAAACTCTAAATATTACTTTTTGTTGTGTATTGCCATAGTTTCAGATCAATTGACACTCTTGCTATAGAAGTTAAATTACTCTTGCCTTGTCTAGGCAATATAGGAGTTTCTAATTCTTTATTCTCATTTTTTTGGCGCCTGAATATCAAATTGCCAAAGACCCAGTTTGGCCTAGGCACCAGGCAAAAAAGTGAACGATTTTGAGTTCAAATCTTGCCTCAGGTGTGAAAACCAGCTGAATGGCTTTAGGCCAGTTACTCTCTCTGACCCCAAACCTACCTCATAGGGGAACATAGGAGAAGAAAGGTATGTTGGATATTTGCCACCTTAAGTTATTCGTAGAAATAATAAAGGCAGGATATAAATACATAAATGAAATGAATGAAATTGATTTATTGATTAACAAACACTTATAAGTAATGGTGGTTTTTGGTTTAAATAATTTCTGATGACCCAGGGCTGGGCATGGAAACAACACAGCCAGAAGACTTAATTCCCCTTTATTGTCCCAACTTTTCCCCAAAAGTCCCACCATTCACTGCAAGTCCAGGAGCAAATCTCTAAACACACACCTCCATTAGTTCCTGGCTGCTATTAGTCTGGAGGAGCAGCATAGTTCTGAGAGTTTGGTTTCCTTGTCACAGGAAGAGTTCCCTGGGATTGCAGCACCATCTGGAGTATAACTGTGTCACTGCAGCCTTGCACGTAGCCAGGCCAGCATGGCAAACAAGGCAGACAAGACAAAACACAGCAAAGTATCCAGCTTGTTCTTGACAAATGCTCCTCCCAACAGAGTCTCTTTAAATCTCATTCCCCAGGTGATCCTTGTGAAGAGGGGAGGAACACCCTCCTTCCGAGTTGTTGGGTTGCCCTGTGCTGATCCCACCTCTCCATTCTTTGTGCTCAGAGATCAGGGAGAGGTAATTGCTCATTGCTGGAGCCTCGGAGCTCCTCTGCTCCACTACTTGCCCTGCCCTCCCCCCTCTCCTGGTCCTCCTGCGCCCTCTTTCCCTCCCTGGCGACCCTTCCCAGCCCCAAGGGATCCAGAACTGCCACGTCCTTCTCCTCCAGTCGTTCCTTCATTGGCCCTAGCTCTGTTTCATCTTCCTCCTCATACTAAGACGGGGCCATGACAGAATTTAACAAGTTGTTCTAATATCTATTCATCCTGTATCAATTGGCCAAGTCAATATCCCCACTTCCATTCCATTTTTGTATCATCATATTTTCCCCAGCTTTTAAAATTGGGTTTCTTCATAAATTTAGCATCCGAAAAAGGGTCAAATTATTTATTACATATTATACTTCATAACTTTCTAATTGACATAATTGTTTCCAGAAATGTTAAGAGTTCTAGTGTGTTTTTATCTTAATACTATTCATCAAACCAAAAGTATGTATATTTCAATAGTTGCTCGAATGGGAAATATAGCATCAATGTTTGGCTTCTAGTATTTAATACTTGACAATAAGTAAGACTGATGATATAGTTCCAAATTAGGAAAGCAAATCCTCCCTTATTGATTAGCAGATGCAATTTTTGTAAAGATATTTTTAAAATTGAAGCCTATAGAAACAAAAAAAAAATATTTTCTGAAACTACTTAAATATATATAAATTGGAATTCCTCTCAGAATATAAATCAATCAGGGAATTTTGAGAAAATTAAACTTGTTTAATGCAGCAAACATACAGTTTATATATCTTGTCATATAGGCTTTTTTAGTGTCTAATGATAAACTTACAAATTGACGTTTTTATGCAAATCTATTAAACCTACAACTAACCTAATGTTGTCTGCTGCTTGCCTTTTTATAAACCATGCTTGATTATTCTTAAGAACAAACGATATCGCTTGCTGTAATCTATTTGCTAACACTGCTGTAAAGATCTTTGTAGCAACATTAAATTAATGAGATTGGATGAGAATTAGCAGAGTGTGTGATTCTTCATCTGCTTTTGGTATAACTGTAAAATAAGCATGATTGAATGCTGCAGATAAAATTCCCTTAGTAAATACCTCATCATACAATTGACTTAAGTTTTTGCACTAAAAATAATTCATGTAACAGTTTTTTAAATTATGTGGCAGCAATTTATTTATTATCTGCGCCACACATCTTTTTTTTATTATTATTTATTTATTTTTAATTTGATTTATATGCCGCCCTTCTCCAGAGACTCAGGGCGGCTTACAATGCATTAAGCAATAGCCTTCATACTTTTGTATATTTATACAAAGTCAGCTTATTGCCCCCACAAACTGGGTCCTCAATTTACCTACCTTAGAAAGGATGGAAGGCTGAGTCAACCTTGAGCCTGGGGAGATTCGAACTTGCAGTAATTGCAGGCAGCTGAATGTTAATAACAGGCTATTAGTCTGCTGCGCCACCATCATCTCAACCCCCTATCCACTTAACTGAAATTCCTGAGGCTTCCTTTCAAGTTAGTTGGCAGAGTCAGTCTGCTCTAATTAAGCCTAAATTGATGGTGCCCTTTTAAAATTTTTTGGTTTGATCACTTTTTTATTACAAAGAGAAATAGATCTGATTCTTTTATTGTCCTTCAGTTTCTATCTACAGGTAATCCTCGACTTATGACCACAATTGAGCCCAAAATTTCTGTTGTTAAGTGAGACATTTGTTAACTGAGTTTTGACCCATTTTACAACCTTTCTTGCCACAGTTAAGTGAATTGCTGCAGTTGATATGTTACTAACCCAGTTAAGTGAATTTGGCTTCCTCATTGACTTTGCTTGTCAGGTTGCAGAAAGCGATCACATGACCCTGGGACACAGCAGTGGTCATAAGTATGAATCAGTTGCCAAGCAATTGAATTTCAATCACATGATTGTGGGGATGCTGCAGAGGTCATAACTGTGAAAAACGGTCATAAATCATTTTTTCCAGTGTCGTAACTTTGAATGGTCACTAAACAAACTGTTGTAAGTCGAGGACCACCTATGCAGTGTTAAAATTATGTTTGTTTTCTCACTGGAATGAGGATACTTACAGTTAATAAACCAATGCAAAACAGAACTCTTAGAATATCATTGCTAACTGCATTAACAAGCTGATCTCCCAATCAGAATCCTGTGACAAGCACTTGTAAATAAGCCTCATTTTAACTGAATGAGACTCGCTTCTTGGTCAAGAGTTCTAGGACTAAAGTATGGGAGTGATCCAAATATTTATGGGGAAGGGGCAGAGAGAAATATTAAATAAAAATTAACCCACCCATAATCCATGATAAGTTTGTTTATTGGTTCCAACATCATTAGTAGATTGGATATTAAACAATACTTTTAAACATTCTCTTAACCAAAAATATAACAAATATTTACAATCACCCAGTAAAAATACAAAAAAGCATACAGAGGCACTGTCTTTCTAAAAGACATAAGTGTAAGAGGTATAAAAAAATAGAAGACAAACATTGCTTGTTACAGAATACTTTACAATCACTGATTTGTGCAGTTTTACAATTGCCATTGGAATACCATTACAACTGTGCAGTTTTTGCCCATATGCTCACATACGCAAAATGTCATGAATTACCAAGCTAAACTGCATTCCATGTATATATAAAGAAATTAAAGACACAACAATGACAACTGGAGGAAAAGGGAAAGGAATGAACTGGAGGTGAAATTCGTTTTCTATTTCAGAGTTTAAATTGTTGGCATTAAACATTTCAATCAATGAAGAAGTGTGTTTTTTTTCCTGATTAGTTTTTGGAAGGCAAGTGCAACGTTTTTAAAATTGCATTTCAGGTAATATGCATGACATGGACCTGTAGCACTCTTTCCTATACATTATTTGTATGAATGCAAGGCTGAAGAGATCAAGCTTCTTTCATTTACCTCCTGAGATACATTGACATAATGGATTCTTATTGAAAATCCATTACTCATCATCTGGAATCGCCTCAGCTGTGCAGCAGGATCATATCTCAAGAAGTGTTTCAAAAGCTGAAGTGAGACTCAGCTATTTCAGCATTAGTGCAAAATTTTCTTAACTTTAGAAGACAAACGCTGGCCATGTACTTATTCAAGTGAAATTAAAACCTTTTTAATTTACCTTAGATGACACTGTGTGTCAAGGTAACCGAAGTGCACCTTACAAATCACCACTTTGGAAAACGTAGCTCAGTATTATGCCTCCTTTCACGACTTAGTTTATCTTCAATATAAATCCTGTCTCAAAGAGGAATCAAATGGCAAATTATGTACAGGCCTACTTACATATTACGATACAGGGCTTCCTTTTCCTTCTATTCGTGTAAATTAAAAACTGATGCTTGTTCCACGTTTGAGATTTTTAAACATTCCTATTGCGCTTTTAGCATAAGGCCAACTTCCTCACAATACAATTTAAAAAGAATAAATGTTATATACAGAGAAGAATTGGCCCTTTCAAGAACTTGAAAATTTTTTGACACGTAATGTGTATGGAGGGAAGGCAGCACATGCTAGTAATATGTTGTTATATAACGAATAAGCATTATGTAAACAGCACAAAATGGGGTTAAGCAGTTTTATAATGAACGGCTTAAAAAAAAAAAAAGAAATCTATCTCCTTGGGTTCACCCAAGCTCCATTTCAGTTTGGCTACTGTCCCTGATTATTCATCTGGCAAAAACCAAACCAAAACTCCAAAGGATCAGAGCAAGGACAGGCTGAGGCAGTTTGCACTGTGCAAAGAGGAAGCAGTTAAAAGGGCTCGCTGACCCGCTGCATATTTACACTCTACAGGCTCTGCATTTTTTAAAAAACGTATTAAAAGACGCCCAGTGATTTTAAAAATAATGTAATTTTAAAAGCAAACCTCTTTGATGCCATTGATACATCAAATTTAAGAGGGCAATTTTTGGCTCATGAGATTTTCAACAAGGAAAGACCTCGAGGTGGGTTGGTAATTTAACAAAAATTACTACCAAAGAGAAAAGGCGTAAAAAATGTTTTGTATCTATAAACTGAAATATTTGAAATTAGAGAAATGCTATAATGTTGGCCCTTAGCACTATATTATTTAGAAAGTTTAAAGTTAAGTTTGCACTTATAAACTGCATGAAACGTTGTGTGAACTGGACTCTCGGAGAGCTCAGGACTCAGATTGAAAACTTTAGTTTTGACACGCGTAACTTCTTTCTTTGGCAGCCCAGGACTATCCGGCAGAAGGCATGTCCATACCACAGACATCCATGTTCATCAAACACTTTTAAACAGAATAACAGCACATCTATTTGGTTGGACATCAGCTCCAGTAAAAAAACTTTAACAGGTGCTATACAAATGCCTTCCTATCTCTGTTATGGGTTTCTAGGAAACGATCCATCAAAAAAGAGAGACATTTTTCACAAACCTATGAAACAATGGGAATGGTACTACAATGAAATATGTGGTGGTTTGTGTGCAGGAAAATTTCAACTCTGTTGTGCCATTATTCGTAACATTATTATGAATGCTAAAATCATGGAAGCCAAGCTTCAGTATTTTATCATTGTTAGTTTCCTTAAGGTCTTCGGGACGGGGGGGAGAGAGAGAGACAGAGAGAAGAGAGCCCTGATGTCTCAGCTATTTATTCCAGACATTTAAGTAGTAACATATATTCTGTAATTAATTGATGAGTTAGGTTATCAGTTCTATGTTCAGATTTGCAATTTCATGTTACAAGGCATTGAAGGAGTTCTCCATTAAATTTAGAACTATGCAACAGACAAGTATATTTCACATAGGCTTTCTGGGAAAGCTATCACTGATCTCATATGCAGATAGAAAATTTTGATTCTTGTACATACAAGCAACATTCACCTTGCACAGAAATGTAAATCTGAAAACTCTATAACTTGAAGTGTAAAATATAGAATTGATTTGAGGCACCTTGAAGACAGACAGACATCCTTCCTTCTACCCTAGACTGTAAACATTTATGATATTAAGGTTTACAAGTAAACTTTAAATATACATTGAGACATTCATGTCCACTGATTATGTTTGACTAGGCAACCATTATGCAGTAGGGGAAGAATAAAAACACAAATAATAACTCCAGTTTTTGCTATGTACTCTGGTTGGCTAAGTAAAGCTGCCATGTCATCCCAGTCTTTCATTTTTTTTTTATTTTGCATAATACACATGCAAATGTGCATTATATATATGAGTCACGGAATCATCTTTCTCTGTAAATAGCACCTTTGTAATCACCCCACCCTGCAGGACAGCATCTCTTCCAGGGACATGTGGTGTGGAACTAGAATTGCCTGCAGCTTCACTGGATTTTAAAGTGTGATTTGAAGTCACATTTGTTGGGCATTTCCAAAATCCAGCATACGAGCTTGAGATAAGAGAATAAATTCCACCTTGTAATTATACCAGGCACTTGAGAATAAGAAGTACTGAAGTTTCACCCCCCCCCACCCCCCCCCCCCCAAAAAAGCTTAGAGCAACAGCATACCTAAGACTTGTCTTGTTCTCTTTTTAAAAATGTGCTTACGGGGGTGAGTAAGTGACACCGGTAGGTGACTGTGGTGGCAACAGATAATATGCTTCATTTTACAAGTTGTCAGATATGTACAACTATATTTGAAGCATTCAATATGTTCGTGGTAAAATCTGGGTTGATCCAGAGCGATTTTCCTCAACATGGCAATTTATTGGGACGTCACATGGGGATCTGGAAGATTATTCATCTCCAATGTACTTTAAAGTCGCTGAATCAGTGGGAATCTATTACTTGGGACTTTGTAGATGACATGTGCAGGGAAGTTTAACTCTCAATTGTCCATAACATAACATTGTTATAAATGTTGAAATCATGGATGTCAAGCTTTAGTATGTTCTCATTGTTGGTTGTTCTTGGGGGAAATAAAAGAAGAGTTTTGATATCTTAGCTATTCATTCTAAACATTTAAGGTTAATTAGCAAAATATATTCCATTAATAATTCTTGAATTAGATGGGTTGTCCATTCCCTTCTATGTTCAGATTTGTAATCACATTTTAGATATTCATATTTCATATTTTTTAACTTTCTGGTTGGAATGCAAGGAGTTTCCACCCAAATACATTGAGAAGACAATATATAGAGAAAATTTGATATACAAGCTGTTATACATTATTTTTGGCAACAAGAACAGTAGCCCAAATGCCATAGTAAAGTCATCAATGGCTTAAAATGTTGAAAAATGCCTTTCGTTTCAAATCTGCAAAATTCTTTGCCTTTTTGTGTCTGTCATAGACTGAGAATTACCATTTTTTTCAAATGCCAGAACTCTTCTTGGATTTCATAAACAAAAATCTATGAACAACTTTTTTAAGTGGGGGGGGTGTCTTACAACCAAACTGCTCTTACGGAATGGGAAAAGTTTCAAATAAAATTGGAAGTCCGAAATAAAATACAGGCTTTACTATCATCAGTATCACCAACACTACCATCATCTAATGGCCTTTTTACTTCTATGTCTTTGCTCCTAAATTTGCAAGTTTGAAAATTTTAGGCTAATTTCTAAAAAAAATGGAACCTGTTGGATACTTTTCCAATGCAAGTCTTGTAGAAGGAAAAAAAACATTTGTAATGATACAAATGTGCCATGAAACTATTTATAGACAAGGGGGAAGAAAAGGGAATGTAGGAAAGGGGAAAAAATGCAACTACTCCCTTATAGTGATCATTTGGCAGCTGAAAGAAACTGTGTGTATTTCACTGGTTTTAAAATATAGAATCAGTAGATGGCAGTATTTCACTATTGTATGCACATCAAATCACACTCAATATATACTTCTGAGGATTTGATATTTTACAGTTTGACATGGCCACTGTGTATAAACCTCTAGCTGCATTCATGAACATCCAGTTCCTCAGAATTTTTTTTGCTTAGCATAAGACATCACACTAACACCTAAACAATTTGCTTCCTTATTTTCTTTGCAAAAGCATTCACATTAGCCAACCAGAGCATTCCAATATTTTACAAAAAAAAAAAGAACCTTATATAAATTCCAAATTAATAAATTACTTTTCAGATTGTTGCAGGAAGTTTCTTTAGTTTTGATGTAGTTTTCCAATTCAGGTAAGTACATAAAATAACTTTCTTCAATTGAGAGCCATAATAGTTATAGAGAAAATATCTGAACAAAGTCTATTTAAAAGATTCTATAGTTCTTCTACAGAAGATTGCTCCCAAGTTGGCCTCCACATATCATATATTAGGTCCTTCTTGATACTGCAATAGAGGGTCAGTATTTCTTAGAATGAGTATTTCTCTTTTCAACGTAAGTCTCCAATCGAACTGATTGCAGTGGGCTGAAGCAAATTCATAATTACAATCCAGATAATTCACCCTACTAGTTGAAGAGAGCAAACACAATTCTTTGAAGTCAATAGCAGCAAGCTGTCAGCTATAGCTGACAATACTGTAAAATTCCTTCCTCCAATGTTGGTAAATTTTGAAACAAGTTTCACAGGAAGCACAGAGACTAGACGGCTGATACTTGTTCATCTTCTGTGAAATAAGAAAAACAATGTGAACTCTTTATGTCATGAATATACAATATATTTCAATTAAAGCTGTGTCATATCTACTGTTAGAAACCTAGGATTTTTTGGGAGGAGTTAAAATAGATCTTATTTTTTAAAAAATTAAAAACCGTTCTTTACTGCTATCACTGTTGCTCATGCAAAGAATGATGAACATTTAAAAAAAACATTTTCTAAAACTTATCTAATTCTAAATCATGATGGCAATTTAATACGGTGTAGCTCATAATGTTGGAATTTGATTCATAATACCATTCAGAGGCTTTAAAGATAGTTGGCTTGGCTTGTGCCTTTCATACTGAAATGCCAACATGACATTTGGACATTTTCAAAAAAAAAAAAAAGTAAATATAGTAAATTAAACTCAGTGTTGACTCTCAGCCATACTCTGCAAATGATCTGACAAAATTCTCACAGAATGAGACAGTGTGGTAATGTAAAGTTCAATGTCTGGGATTGTGGAGGACCAGTCAGTCACTGAGTAACCCTATTATTAGTCATAGTCACTCAAACAGAATTGGAAGATAATTATTTGATTCTCCACTCCTTTGATTACACGTAATACAATATGCAATTAAAAGATAATTTTGTATTAGTGGCTATATAATCTATCCTAAGTGTCTATTTGGTACGGTAGTTAAGGCATCAGGCTCGGAACTCACAGGAGACTGTGAGTTTAACTGTGTGACCCTGGTCCAGTCACTTTATCCTCTAGGAAGGAGGCAATGGCAAACCTCTTCCCCCAAAACACTTCCAAGAAAACTACAGGGGACTTATTCAGGTGGTCACCAGGAGTAAGAATTGATTCAAAAACACAAAATATAAAAGTAAAATCCATCTTAATCTATTGTTTTTGAGCTCTATAGCATGTAGGTCAGAAAGCCTGATTTATTCTACCAAAAATAAAAAAATTAATGCCTGATGAACCAATGCTTAGAATATTTCATAGAAACCTAACACTTTAATCAAATGTTTGTCTAGGTTTAGCAATATATATTCATAGAGAAATACACACATTGGATCCACCCATTTTTTAAAAAAACATTGTGCTCAATAATGCGACTTACAAGCTGCTTTTGCACAAAACAACAAAATGATTTCAAAGCAAACTGGACAAGATTATACTAAAATTCCAGTTTTATAAAAGCAAAATCTGTGAAAAGCGTTCAGATTCATGGATTCAATTAAAAACAGAGCCAGACAAAGCACAAATAATGGCAGACAACAGAAAATGGAATGCAAATGTCATGGAAGTCAAAATTGCTTATTTCCAAGAGGTAAATGAGCAACAAAGAGAAACGTGAAAACTCCAGATTCAACTTTAAAAAAAAAAAAAATCTTCATTTTATAAATTCTGGGTTTTTTTTAAATATTGCTGTTGAAGTTTAAATGGTTCAGAACAGAGGTCAAATATAAGGCGTCAATGTGATACAATTAGTGGGTCTCTGTGGATTTGATTTTGTCCAGTGAGCAATTTCAAGTCTTATAAATAATTGAAACTGCAATTTAAAGCCTCAGCTGTTCACTCTTTTTGATCTAACAGTGTTCTCTTAGAACCTTATTTGTGGAAGTTAATACCCATGTACTGCTTGGCTGCCCCGTGCGTACACCTACATCACTTAACTGCAGGGAGAGGTATCACATTGAGATTCTAGCTAGGTTTAATAATGCTCTGTTGAGTAGCATGTTAGGAAATATTCAGCTTCCTGCACAACAGAAACCTGTACTTGATAGGTTCTGCGCTCGGTTAAAGTTGCTTCATGGAACTCCATGTAGCAGAGATAGACACTGCTAATCATAATTCTGTTTATCTCTAGTACATAAAAGCAGAGCTAATGTAACTACTTTCAAAATAATTTCTGTTACATCGGTCACAGCCTTTTAAATAGCTGAGAACAATTGTTTTCTTCCTTTTATTGTGGGTAGGATAAGGCATTTTGGACTTGTTTCTTCCAAATATGCTAGCTAATAATTAGTGCCTAATACATTTTCTGTTTTTTTTTCCTTTAGGGTCACTTTATTCTCATATAAGCATATGTAAAGCATATACAAATGAACGAAGAGGGGAGAAGAGGGGAGAAAAGAATCACTGAAGCACATTAATGGAGAGGGTTGTAAGGTAAAGACAAACTGTGCACTTCCCCAAATTTAAAATAAACCACATACGACTTTACTCAACAGCTATCAAAGGAGATTTTTTAACATACCATCCTCTTCACTATTTGCGCCAGTCATATCTGCTAGCTTAGGATGGGACGGTTGCCGGCCATGCCACTTAGGCATCTTCTTTGGAAAACAGGCCACTGGTTCGCTACTCAGAGGAGTGCAGGAGAGCCTAGACAGCATCTTTGACCTCTGCACCGCCACACTATAGTCTGGAGGCTTTAGGTGTGGGTGGTGGGATCCTTCTTTTATGTCCGCTAAAGAAATCCCCATATATCCTGGAGGGGTGGGCGGTGGCTCCCTATATCTAGTGTCTTCCTTAGATGAGGTGACACAGTACACTAGCACAAGAAATAAGCAATGGAAATGTTAATGAAGGAAACAAAGACAAAATAAAAGCATTTTTTTTAAAAAAAACAATGAAATGTTATAATGACTTAATTAAAAACTGATTAAACAAAAGGTAAATGAAAATTATTCATAAAACTCTTTTTTTCTAGAAAACGTTCAGATACTAGATTAACTGCCCCGGGCTTTACAAAAAACTATTATTTTGGAAAATTTATCATATTGGCTGATCTATTAATATGTCACTAACAAGCCACAATGACACCAAAATGACAGGACATGTCATCACACAAATGCCATCCTTACATACGTGTGTCAAAAATTGAATGCAAGTAGGTAAATTGTAGCATTTGATGACATAGTCATACATGATATATGTGTCACAAACATTCTTCTAAATAAGGTGCCAAGATACCATCCAGAGAAGTCTTGCACTAAAGATTCTTTGATATCATTTTTGTTTAGGCAAACTGTTCATAAAGGGGAAATTTGGATTATGAGGTGTTTGGAGTTGTATTTTTAAGTGATTGGCACCAAAAACAAGGCAGATGCATTAAATAATCAGTATTGACCTGAACTATTTGATGAGTGGAAGTTATCTTTTCAAAACCCTACTTCTTCAAGCACCAATGGATTACAAACTGTTTTCATAAGTTACTTGATTCCCAACAATCTAGAATTTACTGAACAAAGTATTTTAAAAATAAAAATAAACAGCACATAGTGCAATCAAATGCAATTTAGTTTGTCCTTTCCCCATCCAAACATTATACTATATTTCATATATTTAATATGATCTATTTTTTAATTCCAGCAATAAGTCCATGCAATTAAAACACCCAAATACAATTAAAATCATTGTTTGCCTTCATAAAATTTTGATGTGGTTTTGTTGGCAAAGCTTCTTGTCATTTATTTGTCCTCAACTTTAAAGCTATCTCATTCTTACTGTAAGAGACATCTGCATCTGCAATGCACATTAAAAAGGAAAGGGTTTCAACTGCATGTGCCCACCTGCCAGACTGACTTTTTTGATGCCCCCGAGTGTGATCTCTCTTACAAATTTAGATTTGCAATCTTGCATTTTCTGAAAAGGTAACTTAGGGCCCTAAAATGCTATGTATTTCTTCCTTTTGGAGACAGGCAGGAAGGACTGATCTTGGAGAAATAAGAATTGAAAATTTCCACGGATACTAGAGTAGGGATAAGAGATTACTAGGTTTGTAATGCTCCATTGAAAGGCCATTTCTAAACTCTGACCACTTCCATATTTATTACAAAATTTTCCAAGTATATTCCAATATTATATAATTATCAATTATCTCTGACTGTCATCTACATATACATACTGGTTGTCCTCAACTTACAACAGTTCATTTAGCTGCCATTCAAAGGTTAAAGGCACTGAAAAAAGTAATCTATGACCGTTTTTCACACAATCACTGCAGCATTCCCATGATCACATGATCAAAATTTGGATGCTTGGCAACTGGTTCATAATTATGACCTTTGCTGTGTCCCAAGGTCATGTGATCACCTTCTGCGACCTTCTGACAAGCAAAGACAATGAGGAAGCCAGATTCACTTAACAACTGGGTTACTAACATATCAACTGCAGCAATTCACTTAACAACTGTGGCAAGTAAGGTTGTAAAATGGGACAAAATTCACTAAACGTCTCATTTACCAACAAAAAGTTTGGGCTCAATTGTGGTGGTAAATTGAGGACTACCTGTATAAAAAAGGCAACAAATGCAGTCTGAAATCTTGAAGAATCTATTAATGGGGTGGGGGAGCAAAAGAGGACACTGGAATATTATGGTCTATCTTACTCTTCCTATTCTACACCCGTCACATCTACAAAAGACAAATCAGGGTACATTGCTAAAGCTCCTGAAGTTTCTAGATCAAGTTTATTTACTGTGACAAGGCATGCAATTTGCAGCCATTTCAATTTTAAAAGAGCTGTTTTCCAGAAATGGTTAAAAAAAAAAAAACCTGACTGCCAAATGACAGGCTACATTTTACTGAAACCATTATTTTATTGGAATGGAGTAAGCCTCTTTTGGGATATTAAAATAAAAAGTAACATTCCATTATAAATAGGTATTTTGATTAAGTAGACAGGCGATGATTGTATGTTCATGTTCTAATTCTCAACTGTACTATGAATCTGAGTAATTCTTTTTAAAGTGTGGCTTAATTCTGCATCCTTAGGAAAACAAAAAAAAAAGTACAGCTGCTAAAATTAGTAAGGCAAGAACAGGGTCAAAGCTGTGAAATGAGTAAGTTTGACTAGGCAGACAATATTGGTTTTATGGAGTTCAGTTATAATCCTGCACAAACTTTCAGCAATGTTAGTTTTGCCTTTATGAATGAAATATTAATACATGGCCTCTTGCTTTTGGACATGAAAGTAATGGTACAAGCAAATTGTTTATGAACTGGATTTCATTCTACCTATTTGTTATATGGGTTGTTATTATATTGTTATCCCACTTTTTAAAAATATGTTTTGATCAATTCAAGGCAGTGAACATACTTAATACTCCTGCCTCTTATTTTTCCCTCAACAATCTGTCAGGTGGGTTGGCTGAGAGAGAATGACTGGCCCAATGTCACCTAACTCAGGGGTCCCCAACCCCTGATCCATGGACTGGCACTGGTCTGCAGCATGCCAGCAACTAGGCCAGGCAAACAAGCAAAGCCCCATCCAAGGAATGCATGCAAAACAACAGCCCCTCCAGTCCGCAGAAAAAACTCTGCGGACTGGCCCCTGGTGCCCAAAAGGTTGGGGGCTGTTGAACTAACTGGCTTTCATGCCTAAATAGAGACTAGAACTCACAGTCTCCTGGTTTCTCGGCCAGCGCCTTTACCACTAAACTAATAAGCTCTTTTTTTTCTCTTTTGCTAAAAGGAGGTTGGTAGTCCTGCTTTTATCTTTTCTTAAAACAAAATTAATTATTATTGCTAATTAATTTTCTTTAATTAACATAATATCAGCAATTCTCTTCTCATTTGGCACTAAGAAATTTGGAACTCTTCATCAGCACAAAGCAGCATAGAATTTTTTAAAAACTATAAACAAACTGGAATGCATGGAAAAAAGGAGAAAAAAAAATCTAGGTGCTAGAACAGTGTTTCTCGATTTCTCAATATTTATAGTCTTCTGTTTAATTTACTACACCCTTTAATGGAGGCTATTATTCTCTTTCTTCTATTTTCAGAAGATTGTGGATCCATGCTGTCAAAACTGATCGACAAGCTTGTGACCTGACAGGCAAAGGGTGCAAAAACAGTCTAATATGGAAATCTCTGGAAGAAGAGTAACAAATTGCCTAGATAGGTCTGTTCAGTGAGATATGCTTTTCAAAAGCACTTGAAAAAGAAAGGCATTAGGTTTCAGGGGATGGACCCTAAACTTTCAACAAACAGAACTCTAGAAGAATTTTTCTGAAATACCTAAATTGCTTTCCTCATAGCCATGTCACTGGGAAACTGGAGAGTAATAAATGGATAGGTAGCTGATTAGGTTAGGCAAACATAGCTTTTCTCACAGAATGTGCAAGGTACACTTTGGTACGGTGATTATGATACTACGCAGCATATGATTCATTTAATTTGAAATCTGAAATAAATATAGATGTGAAGACAGAATCTAGGAACAGAGACCATTGGATACTGAAAAAAACACTTTTTTTCTTAAGCACTGAGCACAATCTACTGTTTTTTTCTATGCATTCTTCCCATTATATCTGGCTTTCTAATGCCTTAAAATATTCCTTTCGCAATCCCTTCCACAGTATATGGGCGTGGCTTATGTGAATGTAGAAGCATGTCATCTTCTAGAATGTAGCACCCCACATATGTCCTTTAAGAAAGGGTGTTCAAAAGAACCAGGGGACAATTGTACATGTACCGTGTTTCCCCAAAAATAAGCCCTCCCCCGAAAATATTTAAATGCATGTGCAGCCGGTCCCCATAATTTCCTCTGGTTAGGGAGACAGAGCTGGAAATCAGTTAAGACGGCAAGAGGAGCCCTGTCTTGCTCCACACACCCCAAAATAATAAGACCTCCCCAAAAATAAGGCCAAATAAGGCTTATTTCGGGGTTCAAAAAATATAAAACGGTCTTATTTTCGGGGAAACACAGTAATAGTACTGCGCTTTCTTAATCCACAAAGAGAAATAAATACATGGTATGCCCATGCCATAGTTAATCTTTTAATGTCTACACTATAATCTATTCTATGTTACTATCCAAGGACAACATTTTGATTTAGTGCAAGAATAATAATTTCTTAAGTACCCTTTTGTCTGAAAGCAATGCTACAAATGGCACAAGAGGATATTTTATGTGACATCCTTCATCTTCAATCAAAAAATGGAATTTGGCATGGAGTCTGTTTCTTCTTAAAAATAGTTGTTTCCTACAATAATAGGTGTTTGATTGATGGCCAATATGACATGCTTGGGAAATGATACATGAAGATGATTTCCTTCCTGTCTTGAAGGCAAGGCAAAAATGAATGCACTGCCAAATTGCTGGAGAGAAAAATATCTCAACTGGATTTATTCATCACAAATTTTCTCTCCCGACTGGTGGTACTTAGTGTAAATGGTCAAAAAAGTCAAATTCTTAACAAAAGAACTGCAAGAAATTTCTTATAAGAAAATATACAAAAAAGTCCCAAAGTTGACACAATCTCTCTCTCTTCCCTGCCAGTCAATAAAACATGCTGCCTATTATTTTAAATCCCACCCTTCCCCCAAGGAGATCTGGAGACACTCCAGCAGAGGACTTGAGTTGATTGAAGACATGTGTACAAGAACTTTTTACATGCAAATTGGCCATGAGGGCTGTTGAAACCGCTCAACTACATAATACACAACAGCTGTGGAAACATCCACTGGCTTTTCATCACGCTTACCTATGAGGCCATGTTCTGTACTTGAAGTGACAGTTTTGTAAGCTGCATCACTGCCTGTTTTAGCGTCCAAAACATCATTTTGCTCTGCTGTTAAACTCTCCAGTCCTCTTCGTTTTATGGTCCCATAGTTCGTTTCATGCATGTCTGACAGGGAAGTAGACGAAGCCCAACTGTGCCGGGACTGGTCAAAGTCCATGCCAGTTTTGAGTTGCCGACTACCATCTGAATGGCTGTGTGACTGCAAATGAGTCTCCTCAGGACAGCAGCTGGATGGCTCCACTTCAGCAATGGCCCTTTCTAAATGAGCATGGCGGTAAGAGTTTAAGAGGTCCCACCCCTTTTGGTTCTGTATGTTTTGAAAATTATCATGAGAATTACTCGAACAAGAGGTCCAGCTTCCACGGCCGCTATCTGCTGCTTCTATTGTGAGGTGCTCATGAGAAATTTCCTCGGTACTCATGGAAGATGGGACAGGCAGCCCTCGGATCACTGGAGGTCTAGGCAGCGGCCAGCTTAAACTGAAGACAGCACGAATTAGAAGGAAAACAAAAATGCTGTTGAAATGACCATGCAAGCAAATCGGTAGGGACAGAATCAGTATTAAAATTGCAATGTTTTATAGTTCAAAAGAGCAAGGAAATATATTTTGCACTTCCTTCAACATTTTAAAAATATTAACTGAATGTGGCAATCGTCTTAATTATTGTTTGCCCAGGTATATCTAATAACAAGCTTAATCTATGATTTTCTTCTAGATAAACAATTGCCCATTTCTGCCAAGTTTTCCCAAAGTCAGCAAATATAGTTTATCTTTCTTTCTCTTTTGTCAGTTCAGTGAGAACTGACTAGTAATATTCATATGTTCCTGTTTGTAAATAACAGAAACTACAACATATTTATAAACTCATCTTTGTATTTAAAGGACATCTTAGAAGCAAACTATTATTAAACACTCCATTAGGGAATTAAACATTGGGATCTTTATTTTGTAAAATCCTTTGGTAAGGATTATGTTTGTTTTTTACTTATACACTGCTCAGAGTCACTTAGACAGTGAAATGGTGGTATGTAAATTTGATAAAAAAATTAAAAATGTTTTTTTGTGAAAGGCACGGAATAATCAGTAGAAATTAAAACACGGGGTTGTGCTGTGCTTCAAAAAATATTATGTGAATATGCCTAGGATTTTGTTGAGAGACCAGGGCCACCAAAGCTTTTAAAACAACAGTCATTCTTCAGCCTTTTGCTGGCAGCAATCATAACAGAAATAACCAGAAGGGTGACTACATAGAATGGGCACATGCCTGGAAATGCATCTCCTCCTTGCATGGCAGAACTATGAAACAATTGTTGCCAACCACTGCATCATGTTGTATCTTAAACAAAAAAAAACAACACCTACCTCTTTTGTCTTTTTAAATACGTTTGAAGCACGCTATACCAGAGGGAATTTATTTAAATCTCACTTCCATGCATTTTCTCCCACTTACATTATTATCACACCAATTTAAGCTTTTCCAATATGGAGAGAATTCTAAATCTGAGGTTCTTTCAGCAGAAGTGACGGCTTGCCCTTCTGTGAAGTGCTAAACGGCTTTTCAGCAGGCTAACAATCCCCTTGAGTGTGATGACACCACCAGCAGCAAATGATTTGACTGTAACATCTCAATGTTATGGCACACCAGTCAATTAGCACCACCTGTCCTGTGGGAAAGGTCTCTTAAGAGGAAAGGAGGCAGGGAAGAAACAGGCAAAGACCAACCCAGAAGCTGATTCAGCTGGACCTTTTCTTATCCTCCCACAGGGGCCATTAAACCAAGGGCCTTGGGAAAAACCCTAGAGATTTGTTAATTTATCTTAAACATCTGTTGTGAGATTTTCAATGTTCAAATAGCTTATGAGCTGCTTTTTTTTTTTTTGTCCTAAAAGATATCTATCAATAACCATCCTGGAGGAAGAAATGATTCTTACCCAGGGCAAGTCTGGTTGTATTCAAGTGGTGGCTGAAAGGGCTCTCTCCTTTCCCCTGCCCCAACTGCATCCATCACCATCGTCTGAGGGAGACACCTCTCATCTTGAAGGGCTGCAGACATGGAGTCAGCAGAACAGTTGCTGACAATGCTGGATCGTGAGGAGATCTCACTATGGCTGGAATCGGAAAAATTCTCAGATTTGGCAGACGGGATCAGGGCATATCCTAAACATGACATGAGAAGACAGCATTGGAGAAAACGTAATCACACCACCATTCAAAATAGCTTTGCCTGAGAAATAGTTTTTCCCCATTTTATCTCTTTTCTTACAAGACTTTTCGCCATTTGTTTTATGCAAGTTCCTTTTGCTCAATGGAAAACAATAAAATGCAACAGAATGGAATAATTCCTTTATGAATTAATTGGAACGTTAAGGGACAAAAACTGTGTAACTTCTTTCAACGATCTGTTTCAAAGAGGCTGTTATGTGCTAAACCAACCAGGACTTTCAAGTGCAGCAAGAACAGCTTCTTCAAAAGCTAGACAAACGAGGAAGAACCTTGCTTTCCAGCTGATCAAGTAAAAGGATAGTGCAATCAAAAGCAATGAGCCAGCTACAGACTCCATAGAATCGAGTGCAAACACTTTTTCTGCAGGTTGAATGCTTTCTCCCAAAGAAGTCGTTCTGTTTGCACAGTTATATGCTATACCTCCTGCATTGCTTCTATTTAATCAACATATTAAATAAAGGCATATTGATTTAGCTGTGCAAGTACAGCTTGAATTCTCTGCAAATTTTGTTTCACTCTATTTGCAAACACGGTAAAAGTGCTGGAGGATTGCCTTTGTTTTTAGAAAGACCAGATATTTAAGAAAATATCTAATTATATAGAATTTTAATTTTGTTTCTCATTTAGCATATGATGGTAATATTGGTCTAACATCTCATTTGTGATAAATTGTCCACAACTATCTCTTTTTCTGCTATGGAGACAGTTATAGTTAACTGTGGCTTTATCAGAATAGACTTGAGGTCTTCTAGTAGGTGTTTGGATGATTTATAATATGAGGGTTTCTTATTATCTAACCATTATATTAAAAAAACCATACTTTTAACCTAATCTTCAGTTTCTGAAATGAGGAATATGTGGTGAAGAAGCTGGAAAAAGAAAAACCAAATCAAAAAATGGTGTGAATCCAGCAAAATCTAGGGAGAAATAAAAATGTGCAGCCTTTTGGTGCCCTCTGATAAGAGAAGCAATTGTACATGTCCTATATTCAAAACACCCTTCTTTCTGGTCACATGATTTGAAGCAGAACTGCTATTTGAGGAGTTGAAAAGAATTCTAGAAGCTTTGCTTTGCCTACTTTCCCTACTACATTGTACGGTATTCTATACAATCACTGTAAGATAATGTGTGTACACCTTAACATACTGCAAGTAGAAAAAGAGAATCATTTCACCTGGTTATTGGTTGGAATTATACAAATATTTTATCTATAAGCTGCATTTTAAAATGGGGAAATGTTTTATCATCTTATTCCATTGTTTGTGATGACCAGAACTAAACCTGCACAGAAAGCATTACAAATTATTTTTGGTAACAGAAAAAAAGATCATAAGCAGTTTAATCCATCATTTTCATTGTTTTAAAATGAATTTAATTTAAAATGTTGCTGGGGAATCTTCAAAGTGATATAAATATGGGGCAACCAGAAAGAAGAAATGTTTTTGGCTCTGCTTCTTCTCTAGCATTCCAGCTATCCATAAACTGCCTTGATGTGGAAAATCTTTGTTTAAGGAGGTAATTGTTCTTTACCAGTCTGAATTAAGAATTATAGGGGACAAGAAAGGAATATAATATTTATGTAATAAAGAAAAATTAAACACAGTGACTATAATTTATCTGAATGTCTACTTTTTCAGTTTAATTAAAAATAAATGGAGAGTGAAATATGAGCTACCTGTCTGTTTCTGGTATTCCTCTGGGAATATCCGTCCTGGCATATACAGTTATTTTTTGTGAATGATACATGCAATACTGAAGATGTCAGTTTACCTGCCAGTATGGAAAAGAATAATCTCTTCCATTGATGTGAGTATCAATTATCATTATATATCAACCTTAGAGCTGAGTCACAGTATGTCACTGTGCAGGATTCCTACAAATTTAACCTGCATTAAGTTTCAAGCTTTTTAATCTTTTGGACTATAACTGTTGAAGCTCATATATTCTGTTCTAGATCTTAGCTTTAAAAAGATCAGAACATAACAAAAGTTTCAACAGTTGTATTCCATTTTTCAATTACTTAAACTGAGCCTCAGGCAAAGTTAATCTCTTATTTGAGATTACAGCTGAAAGCTGATTCAGAATTTAAGGGAAATGTCACAGTACATACAACACATTTATAGTTTTGGCTTTAGCTGATATAACAGACCCTGAAGGTATAGAACAGGGTTGTCAAACTCAATTTCATTGAGGGCCGCATCAGGGTTGTGTTTGACCTCGGGGGGCCGGGATGGGCGTCGCCAGGGTGGGCATGGCCAGCTTTACATCACTCGTGTCAGGGGCGCATGTGGTGGCCTGAGCACTCTGCCTGTGAAAACAAGCTCCCGAGCTCTGTTTTCGGCTGGGACGGCCTCCTGCAACCCTTTACCAGCAAAATCAGAGTATGCTGCCCTCACGAGTTCCATTTTCGCTGGCTAGTCCTTTGCTGTTTCTGGGGGGGGGGAGTGGGCCAGATCAAAGCACCTCGCGGGCCAGATCCAGCCCCCCGGCCTTGAATTTGACACCCCTGGTATAGAATATGAGGGTCAAATATGAGCATAATATGGAGTTTTGAATGTCTTTTCTTTTTTACATTAAAAAGGTCAAACACAACAAGAGTTGCCTGACAGTGAGATGGGCAGCACAAAATTTAAACAAATAAACAAACAAATGCAGATGGATTATTTAATTCCCTCTTCCCCTTCTGTTGGTCAACTAGAACTACTAATCTCTCCAGATCTGCCAGGTACTTTTGGGCCTACCTCCTGATAAGCAACAGGAAATGTTGCCACTCCAAACTATTGTTTACCAGCTTCAAGCAAGCCCTCATCATCCATTCAGAGGGTCAGAATACCTAATATATTCCTTACCACTCTCTCTGTCTCTTCTCTCTCACAATTTTTCCTCTTCAGTGATTCTGCTTATTGAGAAACCTATAATATGAAATTGAGATACCCTAATACCTAAGGACACTTCACGTTTCTCATAGTAAGTTTGTGTCTTTTTTGCTTATGTATACAAATGCATATAGGTACTATATATCCTATTAAATATTGTTATTCCCAGTTTAGAATTAAAAAGACACTAGCTTATTTAACAAAACTAGCGATGACAAAGGAAAATATACACAATATCTCTCATAGTGTTTCTCCTACTCAATAGTACTATGTTTTAAAAATATCTTGCGGGCTTGATGATTGCAGAAAACATCCCCCACAATATGTACATTATTTCTCTTTAATGCCTTTTAACAACCTTCTCCAACCCAACATCCTCCGGATATGTTGCAAGAACTCACAGAACTCCCATCAATTTGACCAATGGTTGTGATAAAGCAATGGAGAGGGGAAGGCTGTCAAATACGCTTATTTACAAGTTTCTTTTTAAATGTGGGGTATATAATGAGTTTGTAGATTAAGCGGAAGCAATCACTAACATACGTTCTTCCCTAATATACTGTACTTCTGAGGTTCATAGATGAGATTTGTTCCCCCATTAAAAAGTAAATGAGTTCTCAAGTCAATCTCAACTCCTTATGGTTAAATTCATAGAGTTTTCTTGGCAGTATCATGCTTCATTTGCTTCGATATTCTTTTGGCTGAATTTTCAATTCCTGAGTCCAACTAATAACCAAGGCCAACTCTTTTCAACAGCTGAGATCAATCAACCAAGCTCAACTATATGCTGCCACTACCAAGGCAATGAACATTTGTATAGTATTTCACTTGCTGTCTCTGAAGGACTTAATAACTCTATACAATGCTCTGGTAATCTCAAAAATTAAATTAAATTAAATTATTAATTTATTACAGCCAAATATCAAAATCTTCTAATTTTAAGAATGTTTATGAAAGGGAAGTAAAACATTGATTGATCATGACTGAGCTATTCAAGCGAGGGTAACATTACTTAAAGGAAAATAGATACATTTACAATAGTTATTTGGCTGTTATGCTGATATACAGTTTAATATCTATATAACTAATATTTGTATGCATCCATTAAAATAATATTTAAGATGTGAAATTAAATGATCTGATTACATAAGTTATGTAAAAATATTATTTAAAAGTAAATACTCTACAACTGTATAAATTATGCTCTATAAATTACATGTTACTTCAAAGACACGCATTTCAGATAAATAAATAACTGTATATATGTTTAGCATACCATACTGATGTTATAATAGCAATTATAGTTTACGAAGTTTTTAAATACACACAACTGAAATTTTTTCCTCTTAGATAGTAAATTGCAAAACACAATCTGAATCTGTATATTATAACTAACTGGGATTCTAAACAAAATATGAAAAGTGACTGATCCATGCTTAAGTTTTTTGAAAATTCCTTGGGTGTCCTTTGGACTTCTTTCCAAGTAAATATAGACACAAGCAAACAGTAAGACTTGAATTCTCTACTCAAATTTTATGTTTATGGCTTTAAATATTTCAAGCAGCATAGCAAGCCTTTTTTGCACTGTTTTATTTATTCTGCTAATATAATTGCAATCTGCATGAATTAGCTTCACCAATAGAACTAGAAGTATATTTTTAAAAACTGCTTCATGGGAAGTAACCAGCTATGTGACAAAGCAGCCACACCATTATTAGCACAAGTGAATGAACTGCATATGGTATACCATATGATTGACTAAGGGCTAGAAAGAATGATAGTAAAAGCATATTTAAACCAGAATTTTATGTAGCCTGTTAATTATTTATTTATGCTGACTGTTTCGCCTGATACACAAAGCTAACCAAGCTCCATGGAAAGAAAGTCATAACCTGATACTTAAGAAGGGCTAAGCTTGGTTTCCTAAAAGATAGCTGGAACAATCAGTGCTCAGAGATCACCATTAGAATTTGTGGCATGCTTTTTTTCTAAATCGCCTAAAGAGAGGCAAATGCCCCCCACTTCTACTAATAGATTCATATTAATATTCAAAGTGAACAAGATATAGAAAAAAATATCTTTATCATCTGGCCATTTCCATCTCAAGGGGAGAGGAGGAAATGAGAACGATTAACAGAAAACATTTAACATCTATGAAAATCAGGGCACAACAATGCCATGAGCTGAATAACATGACATGTCATATTGTCTTCCTTCTTTTTGGTCTGAATTGTGGACACAACCACATCAGTGAGCTACTGTTTCCATGGTCGCTGACTGTATGCCCCTCGTTACTGGGCCTGTCCTTTTGCTTCTCGCTTCTATCCCTCTCTCGTGTGCATGCTGGCTCCATACGAAAGGTGAACGCTGATCTTTCCCTGGAGATACTTCTTTCCCTGAATCTTCCAAAGGGGGACCCCATTCTTTTCCTGGCTTTGTACAAAGGCTCCGGCTTGCCTCTATCCTCCTCACTTTCTCGCTTTTCGATACTGACTGATCTTTCTGCTGTCTTGCTAGTCATCTGCTGTATTTTCTTTTGCAAATAAGCCCCACCTATTCCATAGCTGCGATGTCCACTGTTCTTGTTGCTTGTTTCACTTGCAAGAGAGGAAGACGAACCAGACAGATTAAGCTGGCAGTTTTCAGACCTCTGTGAGTTACTAACTATAAAGAAAAGAACAAATAAAACAAATCACATAAACTGCTTTTCTTCAATATACATAATGTTACACTTGGATAAAGTACAGAAAGATACACAATCCTGAAGTTAAATAGATAGTGACAAAACTGTGGATGTTTCATTAGTTAAAGGACAGATCATCTAATTTTAGTTCTGTAATGAGATGCTAATCAGTGCAAGGGCTACTTTTGTCAAACCAAAGTCTATTCTTAAAGGAGAAAATCCTGACAACAAAAAATAATAATAGTATTATTAATAGTAACCTTAGGAGCATAAGAAAGTAAACTAAAACATATGTTTATGGAGACGAATTCCAGCAGAAGTAAAGTTTGGCGAGTTTCAATGAAATGAAACTTGCCAACTAAATATTCAAACAAAAAAATATACACAAAGTTCTCTGGCTCTTATTAAATTTATTCATTTTTAAAGCACACAGAAGAACACAGCAGTTTTGGAAGGCTACTGCAATCAATAACCAATGTATCTGTAATTAGGAATTTATCCAAGGCAGCCCAATCATAAAATATCTTGGGCACTATTTTAAAATACTTTAAACACATTTAGATACTATACACAATAAGCTTTTCATAAATGTATTAAGCTTATCTTGTTCTCCACAGTTAAAATATGGCCCAATATAAATGCTAAAATACCTTGAGTGTACTGAAGAAGGCAAAGTCAGATCAATTATGATGCAGTCTCAAGGCTGAGACTGCTCTTACCTTTGCGTGGAGATTCCTGAGGGGAAGCAGGAGGGCTAGAATGCAACGATGATGCCACAGACATGTCATCTTCTGTGTGCTTTTTATTGCTTGGTTCCTCAGATAAACTAAGTGACTTTTGAGGAGAACCTGCACCTATGGATAAAATATTTACACTTATAATTCAGCCTGGAATATTCCTACAAATGATTGTTTTGTTTCATTTTGTTTTCCCAAGATACTGTCTATTATTTTTGAACTCTTTCATCAAGTAAATCTGATCAAGACATAATTGGGGGGGGGGGGGCAGTAAAATATGATATTTATATATTTACAAAATTGCAAAACACACAAGATAAATTAATCATATTCGTTTTAGTACTAAGAGCCTATTATATGACTTGTAATTTAAAGAATTTTACTTAATTTGGCTTTTTTAAAAAAAATTCTGAAAAAAAAAATTTTTTTTTGACCAACAGAAATCCTGACCTCAATAGGATAGAGATGCAGCTCTCTAAACTATCTCTACAAGAAAAAAGTGGAACAAAAGTGGCACACTCCACCCTACACACAAGAATTAACAGAATTAAATTATTCTGTGATATCCCTTATTCTGAACATCTTTTACCATGTTATGTAAGAAAGCTGGTTGCAGTTTAATCTGCCCTTATGAAAGGAAGTTACTTTTAAAATCTGACCAAATACAACTACTTCACATCAGTCATCCCTCCATCCTTCTTCCTGCTTCATGTCACTTCCCTTCTCTTAAACTAAATAGTTTAAACCAGGAAGTTCTTGATGAGATCACATTTCAAACACCTGGCCAGCAGTTGCTTGATACTGACTTATAGTTAGCTCTCAATAAACCCACATATCAGCTATATGTTAATAACAACAATAGCAAGATTTAAGTTGAATAATATTAGATAAGTTTGGCTGTCAAAAATATTGAAGTAGACTTAGAAAGAGTCGAGTTATGAATGGCATTTGCCATTTGACAGACAGCCTATAGAATGAGAGGATACCAGCTGCACTTTTATTAAATTTGCATTTGGGGGGGGGGGTCCACTATGTGCTATTTTCTCTTCTCTCCATATATAATATAATACCTCTACTTTCAATCCTAGGACTTCAAAAGTACAGTTTTGAAATATATTTCCCATATTCCTCTCAAATAACTCCCACTATAATTTTAATTGTAAATCAATTTTTTTATGTAACTGGGAATGGTTTGTGATCTTCTACTTGCAGCCAAAACATGAAAAGGGACATTGTTGCAGGGCAGGAAGAAAAATCCAAATAGATTTATCCAATTTTGAAAAAGAAAATGTTTTCAGAGTTGTTTCAGACTACAATCTGTCAAAACAAAGGCTTGAAGATGATTTGAATTTATGGGATTATTCATCATATATAATATTAGCTCATTTGCCTAAATTTATGGTAATGAAACAAAGACAAATGTATGTGCTCAGAAACAGTTTTGTATATTTACAAAATAAATATGGTCAGATAAATTAATGATTTTTGGTTATTAGGACAAGACAAAATCTCCATCAAGGAGAGCTCAAGGTGATTTTTCCAAAGGTGTTTTTTCAAAAGACAATTGGACTTCGTTTTTCTTTGAAGACGTTTCGCTTCTCATTCAAGAAGCTTGTTCAGTTTCCTTGAAATTTATTCAAGGAAGAACAAAGTCCAATTGCCTTTTGAAAAAAGACCTATGGGACAACCATGACCTGGATGACTGAGAATCTCCATAGATATTTAAGGTGATTTGATGATTATTCCTGGACATCATCTATAAACCTCTTTTCCTAGAACCAAGATGAATTTCAAATCCAAGAAGTCAGAAAACGCAATGCAGATTAAAACTGCAAAGGTTAAAATTAACAAACTGCAAGTTTAGATTCAACTTTGATCACAGTTTCAGAAAGACTTTCTTTTTTTTATAATGCTATGTTATATTTTGATATTAGGTTTTTATAAATATATATTTTATTGTTTGTATGAACCACCAAAGAGAACAGTGTAGAAAAAATACTCACTAAAAGCAACGTGGTCTTTTGCTGGTCCTTTTTTCCGAATGGGGTACAGATTAACTGCTGGAACTTGAAGAACTTGACTCATTCTGTTTTGCTGATGTAAGTGGGCTTTTGTGGTTTGGCCAATGGACCTCAATGGCATCGGAGACATCTCTGATGCTTTTGTACCTCGTCTTTCACTTAAATTTTTTGTCACTGACATTGGAAAGAAAAGGAATAATACACACCCAAGCATCACAATTAAAGTATTAAATGGGATGCTATTGAAATAGTAAATGACATGTTGAGTGGAGTACCTCTGGAGTCAATTATACAACAAGCTGTGCCATCAAAATTAGGAGAATATAAATCAACTATGATTAAATGGAGTCCCACTGATGGCTATAGGTCCACTCTCCTATAACTAAATCTAAATCCAGTTTCCTGATCTGAATGCAAGACTAAGGAATATACTTGTTCCTTAAAAGGTGTATCCATATTTCCACTAGGTGGCATACTCAACTCACAACAAGTTATTGTATTTCATTTTTCATTTTACTCAAGTACGAACACATATTGAATTGTACATTTGTTGCTATGCTACCAGGAACAATAGATTCCTCATGTCCTTCTTATTTCTAAGAAACTAAGGTTTTAACATTAGAAAAATAAAAATATAGCCCTGAGTACTCAGTAAATTGAAGACCTGATATGTTACTGCAAATTATGAGGACGTTGCTAATAAATATGGAGCATACATGGATAACTACAATGAAATATAGAATATATTCACCCTTTACTGAACTTTATAGAAATAGCACAGCATCAAGCAAGGTCCATTTCCAAGAAAATGGCTAATAACCACATAATGCTTGATGGTCTGTCATTGTATAAAACTAAGTAATTTCTAAAATTAATTATCAATTGTGCATTCAAACATCATTTTTGCATTTCTGCTGTTCTTCATATATAGGAACTGAAAACTACATTTTGGAATTAATTACCAAAATGTGTGTAAGCTTTATTATTACTGTAATATACATGAATGCATTCTAAATGTCTGATTGTAATACTATTTACATATTAAATGTATGTTAATAAGAAATCTATTTTTTTCCCATTTTGCGTTATAATGGTATAATTAATGTTCTTTTGTGATGATATTTCATCCTTTCTTTTTCTTGGCATTCATACTGTTACTTTTATTATTCCTTAATTCTGCAAAGTGCTAACTTGGCAACAGTCCAATGTACTAAGAGAATTTTGGCAAACACAAAGATTACTAGTAAAAAGAACCTTTTCAATTTTATGCAAACTCAATCAAAAGTCAAATAATTACATGATAATACAGATCAGGTCTTTTCAGAAAATTCTGTATAACATTCTGTTTTAAATGATTCGCATATTTATTTAGTGAAAACATCACCCCCTTTCAAATTTTTTTTTAAACTTACAAGTGCTGTATGTAGGCTCACACTGAAGTGACATTATCTGGATTTTTTCTTCATCTGTTTCCACGTTTAGGTTGGATAGGTATTGTTTGACTTTCCTGGCCATCTGAGCATCTTCATACAATTTCTTTGCATTTAAAAGAGAGCTGCGCCGAGCACGTTTTTTGTGAACCCCTCCTTGAACATCCAACATGTTTGAATTTGTGCTACCCTGACTCAGTGACCTGAAAAATAAGACAGCCATTATGTTTAACTTTGCTTTGATTATGAGGAATCAAAGCAGAAAACACTGAGGCAAAATGTTCTTCTATTAAAAGCGCATGCTGATGTCAAGTTAAAAAGAGATGGAATGTTAACAAATTTGTTCCAAAGTAACTTGCAAAACCAGTAACAGAATCCAGAAAAACATTTCAAATAAAGAGTGTAATAAACAAAAACTAGGCAAAATACGACATAGGTTCCTTCTAGTGAATGAAGCCAGGGTCCTTTCAGACTTGAACTGAAAACCTAAATATGGAGTTAAGTTTGTAATGGAAGATGAATTTTTCTAAATTCAGTGATATTAAAAGTAATATGGCCCAGCAGTCTGAAGTAAGTACAAAACAATTATTAACTATATTTCTTTTCCATTCTGTTTCTGACCTTGAGAAATTGAAAAGACAATATACTATAAACATCATCGTTTCAAAAATAAGGAAAAACTTCTTCATATTATATTCAGTTGCTTGTAACAATATTCTGAATAACAGAACATTGGTTCTTTATGAATAAACTGAATGGTATCGCTGTCAAGAAAGATTAATTTGACTGTTTTCTGAGACTATTCTATTTCTCAAAGGGAGCAAACATATTTCCTGGGATGAACAGATTTATGTATAAAAGACCTATGTGTACTACTGGACAATCTTCCTTGTTATTTTATGCCAGTTGTCAAGCTTGGAACTGAAGACTTTGTGTTGAAGTTCAATGGAGGAAACTGCTGGAGAGAAAGTAAATACAATCCCCCTCAGCTACATGTATGGATTATGATTTGTGCTTGAATAATCAGAACATGTTTTGACATGACTAATTTTACTTATTCTTATTGCATCTAAAATATGAAGTAATAATGCTTGGCATGAGCTGTGGTAACATTGATTCTCTACCAGTAACCCTTACATTCCTTTAAAAATCAACTATACAACATGAAACTTCTTCAACAAGATTCTGAAATTCAGCAAAGGGCATTGCTAGTATTTGCAACAGCCCCATTTGTATGGCAAATATTTAATGTTTAATATTCTCTTCTATTAGTGTTAAATGTTCTTTATATTTTTCTAGCAAGAGTTTGAAAAAAACATATTTATCATTAAATAAAGCCATCTATTCCAAGATGTCAAATAAACAGTAATTAAAAACTACAAACATATTTTAAAGAGGGCATAGATACAAACATTTCACAATAAAAAAAGATGAATCTGAAGTTTTTCTTCCTTTTTTTTAAAGGCAAGAGAAAAAGAATCAATAATGGGTATTCTGGTAAACTGTCGAAGATCTCTAAATTACAATATAGGAATGAAGAATTATTTAGGACCTCTGTCATACAATGCAATAGAAGGAGAGAAGTAAAACTAAATAAGGATTGATTTCTAGAATGCAAAGCTGGGAAAGCTGAAAAAAGGAGAGAGCAAATATCAGATTCTAAAATGTGAGTTTTAGATCAAATAGGTAAGATTTCTTGTTCATTTTGATACAAGCTATTAAAGTTTCAGATGATTTCTCTTTTAATATTTCTGAAAAGAAAAAAAATAACTAATTTCAAGGCTACAATTATTAACTATGTACAACATGTACTTCAAAATCTTCTTTGGAAGATAGTCATTTATTACTTTCTGATACGCTTATACAATTCAAAGTTTAAAACATAATACTAAATACAGAGTGTACATCCATCAACAAAAATATCTTAATTGCATGAAAGAGATTTTCAAACTTTGAAAGCATTTATTTCAGCACAGCAGTATTTCAATAGCATATTCTTTAAAATATTTGTGCTGAACAATAAATGCTGGAAGGTTTTGTAAAGGTAAAAGATATATGAATCTGAACTATGGGAAGGAAAAAAAGGATACTGAATTAAACAAGCCATACAAAGTTAAGTTAATACACATAATGGAGAAATGGGTTTAAATAAATGCAAAATTGTAACATTATGAAATCTGATTGCTAATTTATTAACATTAGAAAAAGCAACAGGTTTAGAATGTTGCACACATTTTTCATAAGGAATTTCACAAACCACAAGCTGAAAAGGTGAAACAACTAAATAATAGCATTCAAGATTATAAACCAATTTACCTGAGTGATATGGATACATTACGGATATATTTTAACAGCTCACCAACTGAAAATTGGCATGCATATTTTTCTTAAAACAATCATATTATTAAGCTCATGTTCTTTGATTTTTGCAAAATAACCATTTATATTAATTGGAAGGAAATGGGATTTTGTCTCTTGTTTTCCTACTCTAAGCAATCAAGAATAAATAACTATTCATTCTCTGCAACACCTTCACCTGTCCCTGTGGGAACACAAAATTCCAAGTTGGTTGAAAGAGAGAGTGACTGGCTCAGAGTCATCCAGCTGGCTTGCAAAACTAAGGCAGAACTAGAATTTACAGTCTCCTGGTTTCTAGCTTGTTATCTTAAGTACTAGACCAAACTGACTATTATTCTTTGATGTACATCCAGATGGTCTTAGACTCATTACATACTATTGTGTCAGAATAGCAAAAAGACTACTATATTTATCTTGGTCTGGTCACTGCATCATTAAAAATGCTTCAAGATGTGGAGTACATTATGTTTTTGCTACTTATACAAAGATGGAAAGAAAATAAATCATAGTCCCTAAATTCACATATATAATAGATTGGATCTGATTTCGTTCATGGAAAGCAATACAGCTGAATTTCATAAATAATGCCAAATTCTATGTACATGAATATGGCATTTCAGATATGCCGAGTGCAAATACTGTACATTAGAAAAGAAATCTATTACGTCTTATTGGAATTCCTTTGTTTTAGCAGGATCCCTTCCATAATGGCCATGGTTAAGCTGTAGCTAAACTTCTACAGAAGCTTGTAATACTGATGAACCCAGAGCCCAGAGCCATGTATAGCTGATACTTGTCCTAATCTGTGGGAATTGAGCATCTCTCAACTTCAATACAGGCCGTTCCTGGCACATTTCAAGGCAACAACATTAAGTCATTCCTTTTCCACTCCTAAACATTAAGCAAGCTTATTTTTCAAAGAAATTATAAGATATGGAATTTCTCTAAAGTTCTGGCATGTGTGTATGTGCTAGATATCCATTAACAGATATTTGTAAATGTGTGGTCTATATTTTTTAAAATCTTCAACCAACACTTAGAATAAATCAGCTGTCAATAAAAACATTTTATCTGCGCCTAAATTGGGTAAATTTCAAGGACTTTAAAATAATCACTATGATTGGCATATAATTTTGATTTTATTAATGTGTGGGTTCCAATTTGTCATCATAAACCTGTGGTCTTAAATTTGGAAATAGTTAGAACAAAGTATTGCAGGGTTAATAAAATGCATGCTGTTGTTGAGGTGCATGCATTAATGATGATGCAGAATGTTAAGTTGCATAATTTTGCTTTAAGTCTTAGTTGCATTAATCTCTGCACTTACCCCAAACTCCTCCACCTCTTCTTCCTGTAACCAAGAGCCATATACAATGAAGCATGTATTTAAAAAAAGAAAGCAAAGGGGGGAAAATCACAGTTGAGAGTCAGAAAGGAAAAGGATGTAGACACGAAAAATAAATGAAAATTTTGATCAGGTAAAAACACTTTTCAAACCAGTAAAACAATTTTTTACAATGGAATACAGAGACAAAACTTGTTAGAATACAAGGCGAACACAGAACACACAAAATACAATGATCTGGGCTTCAAGGACCATGTTTGGGGAACAGGACAACAGGCAGAGGAGCTTCCAGCTAAATGTGGGTATAGTTTTCTAGAAATAGTCCCTTTTTCATCTATCTTCATATGTAGAAGGTTCAAAGGTAACGAACACTATCTGTTTAACATAATTTTAGACCAACTACTATTTTAAAAATATACTGAGTTACAAATTTATCAATTTAAAAATGATTTAATTTAGACATGCTGAGTTATGTTCTAGTTTGTGCAAGATAGCCTCCTAATCTAAAATTTTATACACTGCAATATATCAAACATAAAAAAAGATTTACTAGCTATATAAGCATTTCAGACCTCAATGCAAATATTGTTTGCTTTCCATTCACATTTACATAACGATGAAATTAAACAAAAGATAAACATGGAAGTACAAACATGCAATTATTTATATTCCACACTTTTCTATTTCTAATGCCATACCTTTGTCTGAACATCACAGCAGGATCCATATTAGCAGAAGTCATTCTGACCACCTGGCGTATCTCTTTAGCAATCATTCTGAGTTTCTCAAAATTTACCAAACCATCCACCTTTGAATCATTTCCTGTACAATTAAAATATGTCGGGAAAACATTTAAGATTTTTTAACATACTTCTGAGGCTGTCAAATTACTTTTTATGTATCACAACACATTACTTCATGTTAATATCCTTGAACGCAAGCAAGAAGTCGCCAGAAGCTTTAAAACAAGAGAGAGGTGCCAATCATAATCCCAAAATATCCACACCCATTTTTTTAACATCAGCAGTTGTCTGCAAAAAGAACATATAACAATAGATCTAAACCGCCTCTGAATTTTCAATAATAAAAGGAACTGATAGCAAGGGACTTATCTTAATTTCCACCACTACTTGTTAGTTTGGGAAAGGGATGTTTTTCCCAAAATTTTCAACTTTTTCAATCTGAGAATCGATTCTTAAATACAGATCCAAATCCAAGAGACATTTTTTAATTTATACTTTATTCTTCATAACATTTGGAAGCCAGGTGGAATACAAGTTTAATAAATAATAGTAAAACATCTGTCTATCCCAAGTCATTGGGAAGGACTCAATAGATGTACAAAAATGACAAATCTAATCTAAACAACTACCTGATTATGCAACTAAGTATAATATATTCCATAGGTAAGGTAGGCCTCTACTCATAGTGGAAAGTTGAAATTCATTTTTGGTGGGCCACAGAGCTTTAAAACAAAAATAACTGAATGCATTATATTTTTAATGTGTGTGTCCAGACTTGCCTTCGTGTAGAAATGTAATATCTTTCTTGACCACTGGGAATAGTGGAATAATTGGAGGCTGCATGCTCTGACTGCTAAGGATATTGCGATACTTTGCCATGTTCCTAGATGGATCAAAAAGATCCTGAAGATCTCTAAGGTGTTTTTCATATTTGCTTGGTAACTTTTCCCATGTACCTCTGAGTCGAGCCACTGGTGCCAGATTAAGACCACTGAAAGAAATAATTTAATAGTTAGTATTGTACTGATATGCTTTATCAAAAACATACTTTTAAAACAGCAAAATGTTAACAAAAGCATAGGTGCTCTAACTACTTTCTGTTGGAGAGCCAGCAACTCCTATCTGAAAATGTTAGGGAAGAAAGAATTTCCTACAAAACTACTTAAAGAAAACCCTCTTAGCTTTGAGAAATTTACTTCTTGCACATCAGCAACTTACTTAGATGTGATTTTGCAATCTTAGATCTTGCAATGTGATGGAGCACCATCATAATGTAACAGAAGCATTCTCTTTTCTCCTTACATCTCTGTAATGGAAGAAATATTTTCACCTCAAACTGCAGTTAATATTACACTGGAGGTGATAAATAATAGCTATAGTAATACTGGATTAAGCAGATATTCTGGATAGCCTTAAAACTCTTGCCAAAGTATTGTTATTATTTTATGCCTTTTGAGTCAGTTTGGACTCTTGGCAACTGTCTGGACAAGTCCCTGCAGTTTTCTTGGCAGGGTTTCTTTTAGCAGTGGTTTGCCTTTGCCTTCTTCTTAGGGCTGAAAGTGACTGGCCAAAGACACATAGCTGGCTTTGTGCCTAAGACAAAGATAGAATTTACAGTCTCCCAACTTCTAGCTTGATGCCTTAACCACTATACCAAACTGGCTCTCCTAACAATGTATTACTTTATGATTAAAAATAGTGACAGAACTGTGGCTTGTAATCTCTGGAATATTTAATCATATTAGCAGCATTTATCTATAAATAATTTCTACCAAAATGAAAACCTAAGTAGATCTGATTGTTAATATTTTCGAATACAAAGGTCCTTCTGAGTCAAGATCAATTTTTCAGGATTACATAGACGTGTCCATTTTCTTGGCAATAATGCAGAAGTTGTTCTGGGATTTCGCCACCCCATCCCCACCCCAGTTTCCAAGTCTAGCCCACAACCCCACTACAGAAAGTGCTTGGATTGCCATGCAATTGGGACTGGAATTTCTATTGCCAATTGATGCAATTGTAAAGTGCAATGTCACATGACTGCAACGTTCAGCGATGGAAATCCCAACATTTCCAGTTGCTGTCATACCGCAGGAGCACACAAGTCATTAAACAAGAAGGAGGGAATCCTATGCAAGGAGCATTGAGGAGAGAACAGGATGCATAGGTGGACGCTAAGGAGTAGGGGCAGAGTTTGAGGGGCTGCAGACCATAGAGCACAATCAGGCCAACAGGAGCTGTGGGCAGGCATTAACTTTCAAGATCAGCCAACCTCCTGGGGCTATTACTGTTTGAGAAGTAAAAATCAAACAAAAACTTTTATAGGCCTGCAAATGGATTTCTACTCCATACATCTAAGTATCCACAACTAAATTTTTAAAAAAGCTAAATCTAAAATTTCACTAATATCACTAATAATAAATAAATATTTAGGTATCATGCTCATCTTAAGTCTGCAAATAACTTTTCAGTTTGTTGGATAAAGTCTATGATCTTCAAATCTACGTATATTCCATTTGCAGTTTCCTGCTCCTGTTTTATTTTTTTTTAAAGAAAATAACCAACCTAATAACAGCAAACATAGAGTTGAAATTCTTGCATTCTCTGCAATGAAGAGCGATTTTTATAAAATGTTTTACAATCTTCATCCTTTTCAGCTGATTTGTTTCAGATAGAATTTCCGTAGCAACCCAAAACGTTTCTTGATTAATAACATCCTCAAATTGTTTCAAGTTAGTATTTCCTGTTTTAGAATACAACTTATATAATTCATCAATATACTCGGTAGGCTCAATGTTTCGAAACAATTCAAAGTCTCTCATTGAAAGCTGAGTAGCCACTTCAATAGTACTCAGCTGTAAAAGTGAGATCTGGCTCTCTCTTAGCAATTCTTGAGCATCTTCATCTGAACACAGAGTCTCTGTTTCCATATTATTTTTCAAATAATACCTAAAAATACAGTGAGAAGCATATATGATTTAATGGAGTTAATAATTTTGCAGAATTATAGTCCAATGTAATAAACTAAATAACACTGAAGAAACAGCCTTTAGCAAAGACAAAACATTCCCTTTTCACCCTGTTGCCCTCAATATCCTTTTAAAATTACTGTGGTTAGATACAGATTTGTAGAATGAAGGAAAGGATAGGAGAAAAGTTCATTAATACAAATGGAGAGATTTGGTATTTTTGCCCATTACTCTTCATTACCAATCACAAGGCTTTTATATAAATTACTCATATAAAGTACGATTGACCTTCCACAAAAACATCATTAAATGTCTACACTATTTTGCCATGGCTACATTTATTCTTTGGGAATTACTTCTAAAGCAGATTTTTCATTTTCCCAGAAACCATGTTCCTTTTTGGAGTGCATTAGTGTACAATCAAGGTTAGAGCTAGATTAAGTCAATATTTTTATCTCTGATATAGTATTTCTCAGCTATTATGTTGTTGTTGTTGTTGTGATTTTTATACTTCATGTTGTGAGCTATCTTTATTTTAATTATAAAATATATGTTGATGTAACACTTCATTTTTACTTTGGTTTATTTAATATAATCTGGCAACTATGTATCAAATCAAAGGCAATAAAATCTGGTTATGGTAAGAAATGCTGTCTCTTTTTAGTATTTTCTTCTCTGTCCCAATTGCAAAATGAAATATTTACCTCCCATTGAGCTGAATTCGGTCTGCTAACTTTGAGAACTGGTCAGGAAGCCTTCTCTGTTTGATGACTCCTTCAGTGCTCACAGAAACTTCACACAGAGAATAGGTCTCTGGGGTTCCTGTCAAATTGAATTCATGTACTGCGTGGCTTACAACTTCTTTTGCTGTGGTGTCTTTGCTGATGATAATGTAACAACTCTGTTGATCAGCTTTGAAGACTCTTATAACCTGGTCAGGAATGTCTGAGATTAAAATAGAAGAGTTAACACGTTAACTTATTTCCATGGATGATGCATTATTTCTATTTTTAATTATACATATTTCTTTTTTAGCCTTTATAGAAAACTCACTTGCAATAAAATACTTTCCATAAACACGTATTTATTATTTTGTTATTGGATAAAGAAAGCACACCTGGCCCTGTACGTCATTTCTCTGAGGTATGAATCCCTTTTAAAAGGCTTTTTAAAAGCCTGTAACTATTTTGGAAGTTTTACTCCTTCTAATGGCTATCAACTAGGTTATTGTTTATCTGATACTTTGCTTTATAGTGTTACCAAGGAAAGAACTGATGTGGATTATGAGAAGAAATAAGTGTCTCATAAATCAATAAAGCTTACTAAACTTCAAGTATAGTGTATTGATTGCTTTTTCCTTATGGATAATTCATTCTTTGTTAAACAGCTTTGCTACATGATATACCTTCTGGTTTGGAAAAGCAAACAGAGAGAGTGCAAGGGCATATAATTTAAATGGACTGACATTTTCTTCTAATGTTTCTACTCTGAACAGACATGAATATACAAACTCTCTGCAAAAGACTGAATTTATAAAATAACCTTTACAGAATGATATACAACTGTGCCAAGCACACTTCCATCTTAAAATCTGATTCAAATATGCAAAGAAAACAAAAGGATGAAAACTTTCTCACTGTATTTCAGTTACAGATTTAAAAGAGAGGACCATATTCATAATCTCTATTCATATAAAAACAATTTCACTACATGCAGAAAAACTGATGAACCTCAGACCTTTGAGAAAAACATTTAGGAGGCTTGTCTAAATGTTTGTTTTCTTGACATGGTAGCTTTAAAAAAATACATGGAGCAACACTGAAATCTACTATCTGAAATAGTGTGATCAATGAAGCCTTGAGATGAGGTGGGTGACAAACAATTTTAATAAATAAAAAATCAATCAATCAATCAATGCTACTATTAAAACATTCACATTTTTTAAAAAATAAAACCATTAGGATGTTAGAATACTTACAGTAAAAGCCAACTGCTGCAGAATGAAAAAGGGGGGAAAGTCAGAATCAAGATGTTATGCCACAAATAAAAACATTTACATGATTTCCTGTAATAAAAATCTAAATGTTTTGTACAAGTCAAACATAAAGTGCTTGTGTCTGCCTTTGAGTCAGTGTTGACTCCTGGCAACTCTGCTGTTTTCTTGGAAAGATTTCGGAAGTGGTTTGCCATTGCCTCCCTACAAGGGCTGAGTGAGAGTAATTGGCCAAAAGTCATCCAACTGGCTTCATGCTTAAAGCTGGACTAGAACTCCCAGTCTCTCAATGTCTAACCTGTTGCCTAAATCAATGTACCAGATTGGTTCTCTTATGCACACAAATGGTGCTGAAATGGTATTTAAAGATAAAAATGTAAACAATATGCAGAAACACAAGCAGGTCAAAGGCTTTTTTATGGAGCTCTCTCTCATAAACTTGCCAGGAATTAATATGAAAACAGATATGAGATTTTTAAAAAAACTGACCTACACTTGGGAATGAGTTTAGATAGGAAATCACAAGCTTGCAAATTACTGAATACCCTCTAGAGCAGTAATTATCTAATTCATGTGGCTGGTATTAAACAAATAATTATAAATTATATTGGTTTGTCCGTTTCAAGAAAAGCGCCCCCCTCCTCAATACTGTAATCCTTGTTTCTTAACTTTTTTCTCTTAAGACTCTCCTTCCTACTTTTAACCATTATGGAGGACCTCGAAAGAACTTCCCCTCCCCAATGGATTATCTTGGATATTTACTCCATTAAAAATTCAAATTACTACCATTTCTCACAATTATTTGATAGGATTTTAGAATTTTATTTATTTTCAACATAGGCTGGCAAATAATTTTGATTTCACAGACTCTGGCAGAATCTTGCCAGAGCAAGATTCAATGACAGTCCAAATAACCCGGTTACCCCCACTGTCAGGGAGCTCATGCTAACTTCCGCGTCTTTACTTGGAGTGGGGGGGGTTTCTCGAATGCTGACATTTTGGGGAATCCCCTGGGGTCCTAGGACCACACTTTAAGACTGCTGTATGGCATGAGCAGAGAACCTGTAGCTTTCTGATATTGGTGAAACAGAACTTCCAAACTGCATGATAAGACACAGTAAATCAACACTATCTAAAAGGCCATAGGTTCTTCCTTTCCAGTTTAGGCATTTTGTAATAATGCACTTTCTTTTAAGAAAACATTTTACATAATTTTGTCTCTTAGGGAATTAGCAGACACCTAATTCTTAGTATTTCATATTCTCCAGATTCTACAAATTATATTATAGAGTGTACCAAAAGTCAGGTCCCACAGCCAATTTATTATGTAAATTACATTAACTGTTCAATTTAGTTGCCATTTTCTTTTAAACATTTTATTTTTCCAATGCATAACCTTTTTAACATTCCTAAGTACACTACATTTTTCTCTGAAAAAAAGTATTAATAAACACATTGTATTGTATCTGGCCTATGGGATCTGGCTTTTAGTACTATCTGTAAATTAAAGATATTAGTAATCGTGTAAGTATGATTCACTTTTCCTATAAATGCATACATTTAAACAAATTCTGTTTAAATATAGGTGCATTTTATTCTTGTTCTTACTTAACTACAGAGTATTGGTATTTATCTAAACATGCTAGAAAATTGATACTGTATAGCTACGGTTTATCCAGATATACGTATAAGGATGGATCAAAAGATTATAGCAAGTACACTGAACATATATATGAAACTGCTGGGAGGGTAGCTTGAGATGAGATATTGTCAATATATTAATGTCATCCATTTACACAGTGACATCCTGGCCAAGCCCACTGGATCAGAGTTGACAGCCATCACTGTCTGAGCAACATAATAACATCAACTGTGGTAGTTATTATTGATTGAATCACACTAGCCCCCAAATTAGTGTGTGAATTCTAGGTTCTTTGGCTTCTGTACCCAGTTTCCAAACTGTTGATATTTACCTGGGAAGCCTATAATGGAGCATTTCCAGGACATGTCAAAAAATACCATGCCAGAATTACACCCATTCAATCCTACAATCGAGAGGAAGGCTTGTTGCAGCATCCCTCTGCATTAAGGCATTCTTAACATGCCCCTTATGTTATCAAATATCCCTCTCTAAGCGCACCCAATCCTGATAATATTTTAAGTTAAAGCAATTTTGCTCTACTGTGAGTTTGTCCCTTACAACTAGAGTAGCTGTCTTTAAGGATATCTTAAAGGATAAGAATATCTATGATGAGTTTATTAATGGTTTTTAATATTACTTTATGTTATACTTTTACTTTCATTCTTTTATTTTACAACTGACTTGATTGCACTGCCCAGAGTCCATTAGTTTTAGGTGGGTTATAATCTGGGCAAAATATACCATTAATGAACTCATATTACTACTCATAATACTGATTTACAAACAACCATTAACAACTAACACTTTTTTTTCCCAATAGAAGATGAACTTTAGACACATATCACAATAAAAAGAGACTTATTTCACCTGAAGGATTTGAAAAATCCAACATGCTAGTTGTGGGTTGCAGGAGATCAGGACTGCTAGATGAAAGAGTGCCAGGAATAGGCATAATTGCCAAACTGTGTCTGCACTGTCTTGTTCCCACAATGCTGTCATCTTGTGACTGGCTTACACTGCCATCACTGTAAGAGAGTATTAGAAAGCTGTCAATATAGATGACCCAGAAAAGAAATTGTTTTAATAAAAACATAAGTGATGGAGGAACTCCAAAGGTACTTAGAAGTGCTATAAAAGTCTGAAATTAGAGACACAGATAGAAATATTCCTTGTATAGAAACACTCATATTGTTGATATAAATGAAGAAATAGATTATTTATGGAACTCTGGATTAAGTAGTAACATTTATTCTACTTGGCCTTCTTAGAATTGATATAAAAGACAAGACTATGATACAGGTGGTCCTTGTTTAACAACTACTAATTCAGCAACCATTTATGTTTCCAATGGCACTGAACAAGGGTAATTATGAGTCCTTGAAGTTCTAGCCAGAGCAGAACCCCATATAACTGTGATGTGCGCCTTCAGCATTTGGTCCAGATTTTCAACTGCTACAGTGCCCCATGGGCATGTGACCACAGTTTGTGACCTTCGCTATAAGTCAATGGAGAAGCTGGCAGGAAGCTGGATCATTTGAGTTCCTCATTAATGACCCACGTTTCTTGCTTAACCATGGACTGCCAGAGCTGCTGTTGCTAAGTGGCACAGTCATGAGACCTTGTGCTTTATGACCATGGTGCTTAGCAACAGAAAATTTATCCCGAATACCATCATTACCTCTAACCTGAAAGAGTGCAAATTCCTTTTCTACAACACTGAATTGAAACCTTCCCCTGAATGCTAATAAGATCCTAATAAAGATAACTTTTAATTCAGTTTCTAAATCTAGACATTATGTTCTTGCATATGTATTGATACTATCCTGCTTGGAATAGTGAAAATGGGTTCTTTAGTGTAAAAATTCTAATTTTTATTAGTACTACAGCTGAAGAATTTGATAAACAGGGATTTCATTTAAAAATATCAAGAACTAAATAAAAGAGTTGACTGGATAAAAGATTGTACAAAGTTGGATCACCAGTAGTGCTCATTTTAACACACCTCAAAACATTTTCAGTTCCCTTTTTAAAAAAAAGTGTAATGTTTTATCATACCTGAATAGTTTTGGAGGCAAGATACTGAATCGTGTCTTGTCTAAAATTTTCTTGATTCTGTTTCTTCCTCCAGACACAGTATTCGCTTTCATTTTCTTGTTTGCTTTCTCACGTGGAAACATTTGTTCCACATCTCCAGGAATATCTGGGATGGAGTAACGATTATTTTTCTTTTCTGCTATTTTGGGAATATGTGGAACTCCATTCTTCTCCTGTCCTATCCTACTAAGTAGTTCTTTGAATACTGTAAAAATGTAGAAAATATATTCCTTTATTAGAACACAGTGCTTATTTAAAACTGTATTTAGTATCAAAGGTATTTAAAATTCACAGTAAGTCAAAGAGAACAGTAGTAAAACTTAATCAAACTCTCTGTATAGAAATTTTGCTGTACATTAGTACCAATTTAATGATGTGCAGCATGGTGACAGTTTTATTCAACTTTTCCAGCAGATGAGCACCCATTTATTTTTAAATAATTAAGCAGCCGCCTGTCCCAGGAGTTATGGCTAATGATATTATATTAAACTAGATTAGATGGATCAAAAAAATCAAGATGTTATTTTAATAGTGGTAACTTCATAACATACACAACCATGAGATAATTCATAATTTTGAAGAGGGAGGCTGAAGAAGTGAAATAGGTGTCTTAAACCTCATACCTTAAATTCCTTCCCACAATGTTTTAGTTCGGCCCATCATAAAAGTGCTCTAGGCTAGGGGTCCCCAACCCCAGTTCGCAGCCCTCTGCCGGGCCACAACCAGTTTGGAACCAGGCCACAGAAATGGTGGGCAAAGCGGCATTTGTGAAAGTGGTGTGCACATGCATGAAACAATCCCTTTTTCCACCCTCCTGCTGCCATTGCTGTCACCTCTGCCAGTTCACCAAGCCAGAAAGGTTGGAGACCGCTGTTTTAGATCAGGGGTGTCAAACTCAAGGCTCAGGGGCCGGATCCAACCCACAGGGTGTTTAGATCTGGCCTGTGGAGCCACCCTGGTGCCTCTGCCGGTGAAAACGGATTAGCAAGCTCCATTTTTGGCTGTGATGGTTTCCTGGAACTCTCTGCCAGAGAAAATGGAGCTCAGGAGGGCCATCCCAAGCTCCGTTTTTGCTGGCAGAGTGTTGCAGGAGGCCGTTGCAGCTGAAAACAGCTTGCCAGCCCATTTTTGCTGGCAGAATGCTTGGGCCACCACAGGTACCCTCGACATGAGTGACATTGAGCTGGGTTGGGCTGGGCGGGGCGGGGCGGGGCGGGACGGGACGGGACGGGACGGAACGGAACGGAACGGAACGGAACGGAACGGAACGGAACAGAACAGAACAGAACAGAACAGAACAGAACAGAACAGAACAGAATTCTTTATTGGCCAAGTGTGATTGGACACACAAGGAATTTGTCTTGGTGGATACGCTCTCAGTGTACATAAAAGAAAACATACACAAGCCCACCCTGGCCACGCCCACTCCAACCCCCTGAGGTCAAACACAACCCTGATGCGGCCCTCAATGAAATTGAGTTTGACAACCCCTGCTCTAGACAATGATGAAGATGATGGAGATGTGAAGTGTATACACTGCACATCTCTGATGGAGTACATAAAGGAAAAGGTATCTCTGAGCTCAACTGAAAATACCTGGAAGTAACTCTGAAAGTTAATCATGCTCAAATTACTGTATGCCAGTCCAGCTTTTAAAAAAGTGTGGTCCTTATCACAGCAGGGCTGTGATTTAGGCTGTTTACAGCTTGCAGTCTTAACTGCTATGATATTTACTTGTTATATTGGATTAGAAAGTTTCCCACATTTATTTTATCATTTAAAAATCCAGTCCCTTTCTTCCAAGAAAGAATTATTTTTTAAAAAATTAACTGCACTTAGGATCTTGGTCAACATCTCTGCAAGATACTCACCAAAAATATTTGTTTTTACAGTGATGGAAAGATGAGTATTGTTTCTCAATATTTCAGTAGCTTTTGAAAATGTAATGTTCTCAAAGTTTTGCCCATTTACTTCCATTACCTATGGAATAACACAAACAAGTTAGGCCTGTAAGACACCATGCTTCTCAAATACTTTAGTACTTGATAACTTTAGTATTGGATCAGACTGAATTTGAAATTTGATTACAAAATCACATTTTATTCATCTTAAACATCATCAGATTCAGTTCTTTATTTTTTTCTCAGTACATAAGAAAGAGATCTAATAGTTTGGCTTCACTAAGAAATGAAAGCCACATTTTAACAAAGTTTTCTAGTTATAATTGGAAGAATAATAATGTATTTTGGGGGAGGGGGGTTGCAGGGGCATCTGAAACCAATAGAAAAATTTTTGGTCAGTATATTCAGCTGAATGTGTATGCCTATCTGTGTGTCACTTAACAAAATAGATAAAAAATATAACTGTTAAAATTTAAGCTCACCTGATCACCACGTTTAAGCCCAGCTTCTGCTGCTTTGCTTCCTGATTCCACTGACTCTACAAAAATACCAAAACCTTTTTCACTTCCTCCAAGAAGACTGAAGAAAAGTGGTGAATCTCTAGAAGGCTTTTGCAAGGTGACTTGTCTCCACTTTGCTTTTGCGGCACATGCAATGTTTAATAACCTGAGATGTCCTTTCATTTTCTGTAAATGGTCAGACAAGCAAACATGAATGTTCTGCATCTAAACAACATGAAATCCTAATTATTAAGGAGGAACTTATATAACCATTAATACTCAACTGTCATTGAATTTCTCTGATGGGAGATTTGTGAATTAACAAATAGAAGTTTTAAATTTGCAGTTTCATGCATCACACACAAGCCACACCCACCCCAGCTCTGCAAATGGGAAAAACTTCACGAAACATTACATGACAGCAATGTGATGCCGAGAGTTTGACACCTGTGTTCTAGATTTTTGACAGGAATCCTGTGCACCATGGATATCAATCATGATTAGGCACAACTCTGACTATTCCTGCCAATTTCTAAGAGTGACACAATGGAACCCTTAGAAGGAATTTTGACACCAAGTAGGCGGGGGAGGGAGTGCCAACTTAAACTACTTCAGTTAGGAACCAGTTCTCACTGGTCTTTGTCATCCACATTTATGGATAAATATCTACCTTATTACATGAATTAAAAACAGCTGTTCCAAAGTCTGCATCTCTTTGGGATTGGAGGTCCATAAATAGTGTTGAATACAAATTGAAGACTGAGCCCAGGTAGCTGCCTTGCATAATTCCAGCCCCACCATTCTTGTGGACTGATTTCAAAATATAACTGCTGCTTAGTTGGCTCATAATAGTTTAGAAAAATGATGGGTAAAGACTCCCACCCCCCCTTGGAATATCAAGAACAAAGGCCAGTATCTTTGGAATTAAGCAGCTCTATACAGATTGAAAGACTGGAGAGATCTTTTAACACCCAAAGTTAACAAATGAGCAAATGACCAATTGAAGAAACATTCAGAAGAGTAGAGTCCTGTCCAGCCATCCTGTGGTACCCATGGACCACAAGATTCCCACCAAAAACCTGTCAGCTTTAAAAAAAAAAAAAAAAAGGAATGCAGCTTTGTATAGGCATAAAATACCACAATGTGAGTCAGAGACCACAGTGAAGAACAGTCAAATTGCTCAGAGTAATATTCAGATTGCACAGGACTATCCTCCCGATGACCTTGATTCTGGGTTATTTGCCAAAACTGTGATATAAAAGAAAAGTCCAACAGTTTGGGCTTAAATATATATACTTTCCTGAATGACATTCAAAACAGAAATATGAATGACTTGTAGGACACCCTTCTAAAAAATGTTTTGAACAGTTTTTTTTTTAATTTTTAAAGAGGTCTTAGAAGATATAAATATAAAATGTATAGTGTATAATAGTTTATATTGGGTCCTACCGCATTTTCCAAATGTTTTTCAAATTCTTCTAAAAATCTTGTCATGGCTGGATCTCCTTCAAAATCATTAAAATGGTTATTCACCCATAGCAGTACAACTCGAGTAACCTAAGAACAAATATAAGTTGACATTTCAATACAATTCTACTGCTATTTCTAGATAAAACAACGCTTACACTGTTAATTATTTCATTTTATGAGTTTATCAAATTTTTAAATTACAAATTTAAAAAAGGAGAAGTATCATTAGTACAATACCACACAATAACCCCTAGAGACACAAGGATCCATGTAGTCTCAAAAGGATTTGAGAGCAGCCCTCACATAATTTAAAAATTATAATTTATGACACTCAGAGAAAAGATCAAATCACATGAATTAAATATAATAATTTTAAATAAATATTATTTCAAATTGAAAATAACGTAGGTTTATGGATGTTTTCTTGCAGCTTTCAGACATTTTAAATACCCAAAGCTTCCAAATGCTGTTATGCTGATAATGAGTTCAAAGGCTAAGAAAACAGGAATACATTCTTCAATTTAGCTATACATTACAGCCCAATTACTTCTATACCGGCCATTTCCTAGTTACTTTATCAATCAATAGCAAGAAACACCCAGTCACATAAAATATTACTCCAGATTTTGAACTGCAGTAACTTTGTATACAAAAATCAACATTATTTATATCTTTACAATTTCTCAAGTACACCAACTAGTAAACTTTTAAAATACTTTTTATACATATAGAGTGTCCATCTGAAGTAAATGAGGGTGCATGAACTACTTTTTTTCTGCCCAGGAATGGCATAGCATATTACAAAGATCAGAAGGAAATCCTACCACTCTTTATTATTCATTGCTTGTTTGTTTGTTTTTTAATATTTGTATTTTTTAAAACAACTCCAACCCTCCTCTGGCAAAAGCTAATTAGATTGAAGCATGTTTATTTAAATTAAGAACAGCCAGAATAAACTTAATTTGGGATGCTACTTTTTGATAGCATAGCATGAATAATTGCATAGAATTTGTTCCTATTAAAATCTCTCAATATACTTCAGAGAAGATCAAACACCTCCAATAAGATGCAGCAAAAAATTCAAACTAGTTTTCATCAGTAGAAGTAACATTTATTTCAAACATATGGCAATTAGAAAAACCAAGTTAGTAATGTCTAATTTAGGAACCAACCTTGTCCCTGAGACTGTCAACCTGAAACCACTCTAAAAGTTTGTCTCCAACTTCCAGAGGGCTTGACAAAAATGTTCTGAATGTTAATAAAAAGTCTTCAATGTAAGTTGGATCCACAATAGAGTGCTCTTCTATTAAATGCATAATGAGGCGTTCAGGTGTAGCCTTAAAACAAAGAGATTGCAGTGAATATCCTGACAACTTAATTTTGTAGTATTATCAACCATGATACAATAAGAGATAGTACAAATAAATATGATTCCTAAATGTCATTCATAAACTTTTATGCTAAAACATTTGCCCACCTATCCTCCAAATTTTTCATATTAAAATCATTCCTTATAAATATTTGCTATCCCTTGTTATTATTTCATGATAAACTTTGCCATTATTTTTTCACCCATGCACTTAAATGTGGTAACTACCATTCCAATTTCTGATGCATCATTAATGCATTTCTAACCTAGCTACAATTATTTTTTAACAGCTGGGCATGAGAAGCAAGATGTAGCACTTTCTTAACTCAGCACTCACTGTAAGAAGAAAGTTAGATATATCTAAATTGAGAGTTTGGAGAGATCAGAACAGAAAACCTATATTATCTTCCTTTTTGGGAAAAGAAATATACTCGCTGTTATTTGCCCAGGTAACAACAGGGATGTCTTATTTAACATCAGCAAGATATTAGAATCTTAGCCAAAGACCAGGTCAATATAATAAGTTATAATAACTCATTTTATTCATAAATCTTACTAATAAATACTATAAATAAACATTTAATTGTACAAATTTTCTAGACATTTATTTAGCATTATAATTCATACCATTTCTACACATTCAAATACTAAATTCCTTTTATACTGTATATCTATGAATTAAAGAATCCCTTTGTCAGGCTGGTGTAGGGAACTCCAAAATTGCTTGTCCTTGGAGACTTCAATTTATTACCCTGTCATGTTGAGTTATAGTCATGTCAGGAATTTATGGCACTGACTGTCCCAAACAACAGAAGGCTGAATGCATTACTGGGGGGGTCACGCATTGCATTTGCTTTTAGTCTCGGGGCAATTGCAATGTGATCTGGTTTTGAAGATATTACCATTAGTCTACTGATCATGTTTCAGCTGCTTTTGATAGAATCAACTATGGTATCCTTTTGGACTGGCTGTGGAGTTTGAAATTGAGGGACACCATTTTGCAGGGGTGTCTCTTTGGCAGCCATTCTAAATCACTGTTGATAGAGGGGAAGTGACTGAGGCCAGAGACCCTCACTTATGGAGTGCAATACATCTCAATGCTCTTGCCTCTCTTTTACATGAAACTGTCAGTGATCCAAAGTTAGAAATTAGGTGGCTATATAAATGTTTTAAATAAAGAAGTAAATCACCCATTGGTTTATAGCCATTGACTTTAGATCTTGATTCTGGACCAAGCAGGTGATGCTACTGAAGTCCTGTCCCAATATCTGGAGGCTGTGTGACTCTTGAAGCAAATAGATTAAGACTTGATCCTGACAAGACTATATGGCTGTGGATATTTAAGTCCCCTTACATATGAGAATTTTCCATCTTTGCTCTTGGATGGGATTACATTTCCCCATTCAAGACTGCTGTATGATCTGGGGATCAACCTGGATTTGCATCTCAAATTACAGCAATGGCCAAAGGGCTTTTGCCCATGTACATCTAGTGCACTAGTTGCACTCTTTCCTAGAATGGAGACCCTTCAAATAGTCACCATAGTCACCTCATGAATGGACCATTGTAATGCACTTTCTCTGGGACTGCTCTTGAAAACTTCTAGGAAGTTCAAGCTGGTCCAGAATACAGGAGTACAGGTAATGGTGGGCATACCTCAGTATGCCTGTGTGACCACACTGCTCCATAAAGGTGCACTGGTTAACTGTAAGGTTATGCATACAATTCAAGGTACTGGTTATCTCCTATAAAGCCGTTCATGGCATAGGGCCAGATGTTTTATCTGATAAACCACCTACCATATCTCCTGCAAACTGGTGAGATTGGGGCACAATGGATCAGGGGTTCCATTGATCAAGCAGTGTTGTGTGGGGGAACTCAAGAAATGTGCCTTCTCTATTGTGTACCTGCCTCTAGAATAATATCCTCCAAGAAATTTGGATAGCTCCCACTCTAATGATATTCAGGAAATTATTAAAGACTGACTATTCATACAGGCCCCTGTAGTGTGATTTTTGTTGTTGTTGTTGTTTAAATGTCTGTCTTAGGCCACTTACATATCTTTTTCTTTCTCTGTATTATTTTTCTTTTTTTAATTGTAAACTCAGAGATATTAAATGTTTGGCAGCCTTTAAATAGTTTACATAAATAAATAAAATCCAGTAATATAGTTCTTTGAGTTATTTAATAATCCTTTATGATAAGAAACAAGATTTATCCTGAAGACCAATCTTATGATATTCATAAAAGTTGGAGATTAATGAATCTTTAGTAAGATATCATTTTTTGATTACCTTAATGACAATGTGTCCTTTTCTGGTTCCACTGCGGTCTAATTCTCTATGCTCCTTCACCATAACAATTTCTCCTTCTTCCTCCACTTTATGTGTATTTTTTTCAACATGGTTTAATATACGCCAGTAGTCCTGCTGGGCTATACATACAAACTGTTCCAAAACAAGAAGGACATTTTAAAAAACAGCAATATTATGTAAAAATATATTGCCAAAAATCATTTTAATACAATGAATAAAAATCAGGTCATTTCCAGCTTGTTTCTTAAAGATAACTATGTGTTAAGTTCAATCACAAATAATACATTCCATAGAACAGATCTGATTGAGAACTGGATTTTTAAAAAGAAAATGGTCCTATTCACATTTCAGTGGAAGACAGCTGTCAATTAACCAAAGATTAAATAATAAATAGTTGTGATTTGAAAAAGTAGTGTTAAGAGTAAAAACATTATAAATGAAAGTTGTAATCTGTTTCTAGAATCTATTTATACCAGGGGTGGGCAACTATGGCCCTTTTATGACTTGTGGACTTCAACTCCCAGAATTCCTGAGCCAGCCATGTTAGCTCAGGAATTCTGGGAATTGAAGTCCACAAGTCATAAAAGGGCCATAGTTGCCCACCTCTAATTTATACTATAAACTCTCCTTTTTGTTTTTAATCTTCAATTAGCCAAAATGAACATATACCAGAACAATTTTCTAAATCAAATGGGCTAACTTAAAAAAATGTTTTCAAATTCTGGACCCATGACTCCTGTAGAATTGAAATTTCAACTATCTTTACAAAAGTTGTATTTGCAGTGGGTTATGGGTTGTCTAATAAGTGCTGCATCCAGCATCAGGTCAATGGACTTCTAGTCACAGAAAATTGGGAATGGGCAAGAAAGCAACAGAAATTTGACTGGTATTAGGCCTGTCACAGTGGATAAACTCTTGATTATTTTAAAGGATAATATATTATGACGGTTTATAACAAGCTTCACAAAGGTAAAATATTTTACTCTTATATCATCTATCTTACCTGGCAATCATCTACTTTGGTCCTAACCACACCGTTCATGTGTTGCTTTTCCAGAGATGGGGTAATTCCAAAACTATTTCCCATACAAAGGCTTTCTGTTTTCCCATCAGGATAGCTAATTTCCACAGTGCCATTTAGAATAACATACCAAGAATCAAGCTAAAGTTTAAAAAAAAAAACATAATGCAATCTCAGTTATCTTGCTATGAATCAAAAATTCTCACTCAACAGGTAAGCATGAGATTTGATACAAGTCCAGTTTACACTGCACTTCATGACAATTCATGAAACAATAAATAGATTAAATCAGAGTTATGTTAATGATCATTACCTTGAGTTATGTTAATGAGCATTGCCTTTATTACACAAAAACGATCAGAAATCAATAGAGACTTAAGAATTTCTGTCGATTACCACACTCTACAAAATCTTATTTTATAGTAAACAGCCTGTTCTTATATGACACCTAATCCCGCTGACAATTGCAAATGGATAATGGGCATATTGTGGCTAGGTAGAAAATATATAGCAGAAGGATTTGAGAAACTAAATATAAGGTTTGTAAATATGAATATAATATTTCCAGAGTAAATATACATAAAATATAAAGTACATAAAATTAAAAAGTATAACAACATTATCCAAATACATGTTAATACAAATACAAGTTGTACCAACTTGTTCAGTGGTACAAGAGTATTTGAGAGCTGTGGAATCTAAATATTCACCACAAAACAATAGCAAGAGTATATAGCTTAGCTATCCTCATGGATATTTTAATATGCTTGTCAGCCAAAAAAGAATATCTCTACCTAATCTGACCCATTAGGGAATACTAACATTGAGAACTTCTCATTATATATATAATTATGCCAAAGAATTATATGTTTCAGTAAACATTATTCAAATGGTCATCCTATTTGTTCAATAGAGAAACTCAAAAATATATGTATCTCATGTATAATACAGTAACATTTCCATGGCAACATGCCCTACTTACTTCTTGCCCATCTTCAAGGATGATGGCTCCTGCTTGCTCTACCACTTCAAATATCATGACAGAACAAAGTTCTCTTCTTACTGACATAGTCATGTTTGCAAATGCTGGAAGCTGATGCATAAATTCCAGTAATTGTTCTAGTGGAACGAAAGTTTCATGTTAAATTTAAATGATATACTTTATAAGGTAAAACTATCATGTACATTGTCAAATGTTATTTAATTTTTATAACAGGACAGAATTTCTATCTGTATCATCCATCAATTCAAGCTAATTAACATAGGTAACTTCACTGACTTGAATTCAGTTCTGGCTTTCTACATTGAAAATGTACTTTAATCATATGGAAGGGTTATTATGTACTACAGCTTACACTGAGGGAGAGAGGGAGGAAGAGATTAAATGCATAAGAACAAGACTTACCATTAAGCACTATGCAAAAAAAGTTGTAACTATTTTCCTACATTAGCATTTATTTATTTGTATGCATGCATGCATGTATCGATTTAAAAAGACTTACACAGCCGCCCATCTAATATACAATAAAACTGAGCAGCAAACAAGGACACAATAAAACATAAAAACAATTCCCAGCAGTCCAAAACAAATTCCTCCACCACTGAGCATTCATATTTACTAGGCTCTAACCCAGGGGTGAAATCCAGCAGGTTCTGACAGGTTCTGGAGAACCAATAGCAGAAAATTTGAGCAGTTTGAGAACCAACAAATACCACCTCTGGCTGGCCCCAGAGTGGGGTGGGAATGGAGATTTTGCAATATCCTTGCCCCAGCAGTGGGGAGGGAATGGGGATTTTGCAGTATCCTTCCCCTGGATTAGGGTAGGAATGGAGATTTTGGAGTAACCTTCCCCTGCCACGCCCACCAAGCCATGCCCACAGAACAGAAATAAAAAAAAAATTGGATTTCACCACTGGTCTAACCACACACTAATCCAGTCAGTCCTTAGAGAGAAAAGCCAATTTTCCAAGGCTTTCCAGAAAGCCAGAAACATTGGAGGAAGGTGTTTCATAGGACAGAAACAGCTACAGAGAAGGTTCATTTCCTAGTCCCATCAGATGACAACATTTAATGGAAGTGTCCAGGAGCATGACCACTCTATCCTATCTGGTGGAACAGACAGATACCCTTAGAGAGAGGTGTTTCACAAATAAACTGGTCCTATGCTATTCAGGGCTTTAAAGATAATAACTAGCATCTTGAATTTCATCTAGAAAGTTCTATTGCAGTTTACAAAGCAATGGCATATGACACAGGCATAGTGCCTAGATCTGCAGGTGCCACTCCATTCCAAACTCAATTGTAACTTCACAATCATATTTAAGGGCAGGCCTGTGTATTGAGTGTTGCAGTAATCTAATCAGGAAGTGATCAAAGTGTGGAGAACAGTGAGCAAAGCTTCCAGGTTGAATTGGTGCAAAGGCCATCCAGTCATGGCTGACACGATCTAGGGGTGTTTTCCATTGCTTCATCTCCCACAGCACTTCCATAAAGCAAAATGCTATACAGGATCCAGACTCACAAGAGATTCTGCAGAGCATGATCCAATCACGGCCCTTGTCACATGCCTATCTCAAGCAGCAACCTGGTTTTCAGCTGGATAGTGTGTCACAGCCTTGGTAAAATTTCCAAGTTCCTTCTACAACCCAATTGCGGTGGGATGATTGAATACTACCCATCTCCCTACAATAGGGGATAATTGCTCAGAACTCCAGATACAAGAGAATGTGAGGCCATCATAGTTGCCAAGGTGGTCATGAACTCCCAAGCCACCTCTGACTCCAGGTCCAGAGAAGGCAGGTAGAAATCCTCCATAAACATAAGCTTGGAGAAATCTATCCCGAAACTGGATAGATTTGAGAAATTTGAGCAGGGAGGAAGATAAGCAAGCAGCAGTCCCACGTGATCCCTATAACCCAGTTTCATAAGCAGTCCTAGATCTGACTATGTCTGCGGTAGTATCTCTAAAGCCCACCAGGACCCCTAAATGACAAGAGCCACATTTCATCTCCTGCCCAGACTTTCAGGTGATGCAAAACCCAAAATCTAGGAAGAAAGATTTGTGAGAGAAAACAGCCCTTCCCATACTCAATCAAGTTTAAATGATACATGCCAGGTCTTTGTTCTATAATCAAGTCATCAATGAGATGAGCTTTATTACAAGGAAACCCAAGGTTAAATAACAACAGTCAGAATCCAGAGCTCCTAAATCTTCAGGAACCAGATCTTGGGACTATATACAAGAAACTAGAATGTAGAATTGGTCTTGGACCCTCAAGCCACTTTCCTTTAGGGCATGACCCATCATATCTCCCACCATACCTTCAGGGTCCCATCTTGAGTGCATTGTTCTCCCTGCTCTCATTCTCCTACATAATTTATTTCCTTCCCCATGCCATTCCACTCCCAATAATGATTGCTATTTGGATAATTCATTACTGCATCTCTATGTATTAATTGTAATAGGTTGTACAACAATATAACAGATTTATTTATGGAGGCAATATTTTTATTTCTCACCAATATCATCATCTGTTTTGTCAGCAGGTTCTTTTTCAAGACACTCCCGAACAACATCTCGCCCTAGCAGAGGATCAGATGTTCTGTCAATGTCTTCATCTTCTTCTTCATCATCTTCAGAATCTACAGGCGCTTCTGGGAGACCAGTTAAATCTACATCTCCCATCTCACTTTCTGTAGCCTAAACATACAAGCAATAAACAATATTTAAGTGTCTTAAAGTTAAACATTTATGCATATGATGCTGGCTAATTGACTATATTTTATTTCCCAAGGCAATAAATCCTATGATCCATCCGTCAAACCACTCTTAGGGAAATCAAGTAAAACCCATTACCATTAGTTAAACAAATACCAACACAAGCAGTTATGAACCTGTATCTTACATATGGATATCTGACTGACTTGCTGGATTCTAGATTATTTGTTTTTAAAAGTTACTTCAATACTGTTTAACTCTGAAATCAAATATTTAAAACCTATTCAACAACAGGAAAAAGTTATTTTAAAAAATATTGGTTCATCCCAAAAGGATTTTATTAATAGCATGGTTGATATCAAAAGCAGAAAATCTTAATACAATGAATTTTAACTAGATCACATAACTTGCCAGAAGAAAAAAAATATTGATATGGCGATAAGAAAAACTATATATTCAAATATCATACAGGTGAACATTGTTTAACAACCACTCATTCAGCAACCATTCAAACTTAGAATGGCACTGAAAGAATGGTACTTATGAGTAGTCCTCATACTTATGACAGCTAGAGAGGTCCCACAGTCACATGATTGCCTACAAGCAAAGTCAATAAGGAAGCTGGCAGGAGGTCACAAATGGTCACCACATGACATCGTCAAGTATGGATCATGATGTACGTAACTTGACAATTATAACTAGAATGGAAGGATTTCTGTCGCTAAATAGCACGATCACATGACGTACCACTTTACAACTGCATTTCTCAGCAATGGAAATTACGATCCCAGTTGCTGTTGTTAACCAAGAATTATCTGTATCAGATTTAAAGTTATGTACCAAAGTCATGTCATGAGATGTGGATAAATTTAAATCCAATCCCAACTTTATCTAATCCTCAATTTGAAAAGTTCTAGATTGCTTTTTATGAAGGAAAACAATATTTTTCTTCATAAAATTCTTCACAATCTATCAAAGCCTCAATTAATTTAATTCCTATTTGGCTAACATATAAAATTGAGTAAGAGGGATCAAATTACAAAACTTTAGCATTTCTACAATTTTTCACCACAAGGATTTTTGTTTTGTTTTTAAAACTACCGAATTGTTCTTTAAGAGAAAAAGCAGGATTTTTTTTTTGTTCCTAATACTGAGGTGTATCTAAGAATTTTCTAGCCATAAATTATTTGAAGTATTAATAAGAGGTACGAGAGAGATGGGCCAATGTTTCTGACTACATAGCATGAATTAGGAAAAACTTTAAATATGGTATGTTTCAATTGTCTTATTCTCTTGTTTCACTACTCTAATGCATTTTAACCACAAAATAAAACTTGGCTGATCTGAAAAGGCACAGAGGAAAGTATTACATGATTTAAAGGGGGGGGGGGAGAAGATAAATTCTAATGTTCAGTTTTTTCTGGGGAAAAAAAGTTAGTATTTCTGGAAGAAGGAAACCTGTTGAATTTGTATATGTTAGAGTAAGGTCTAACATTCCTAATAGGTTCAGAAGAAAATAACATCATAACTAGAAAAAATAAACAAATATTCCAGGATTATTGAGGCCTAAATTTGAAAACATTTAAGACCATGGGACTGCAGAAGCTAAGAAGCTTTGCATAAAAGAAATATTACTTAAAGTCCCGTTTAAGAAAAAAAAAATTTTTATTGAAAAAGTTTTCAATTACAAATTTTCCCCCTTTCCCCCCCTCCTCCCTAACCCCCCCCCTCACCACCCCATCCCCCCTTTGACTTCTTCAAAATAAAAACCTAATACATAACAGATTATATAATATTTTACCATCCCCTTACTTCCTCCTCCAAATACTGACCCTTACTTCTAATGATATTATTAATATTATTACTTCCCCCTCTTACCATGCACTTCAAAATAACATTCTACTATAACACTGTATAATAACTTCTGATTTAACACAATAATATTATTATGACTCCCAATTTAGCAATAATCTGCCCTTTTTTCTCCTCCCCCATACTTATGTCTGTATATTAATATAACATTTCAAAACAACCTTCCACTTTAAAAATATATAATAAATCCTACTTTAACATTTAATCTTTTGTGTATATTAATATAACATTTCAAAGCAGCCTTCCCCATAAATTCTAATTTTACATTTGTTCTGCTCTATCCATTTCCTCCACTCCCATAAATATATCTCTTAAACATCCCTTTTCTTAGTCTACACTAGCCTGTCTCCACCCACTTTCCTACAAAATTACCATACACAACAATTCTTAATATCTTTGTTCTTCTGCCCACCCTACTAAAAAATATTCCCTTATATAGATAAAATCAATGACTTTAAACTTATAATCCATATAATATCTTCTTTGATGTCTTTCCACTGGATTGCTGACTCCATCATCCGTATCAGGGTAACATAACATCCCAGTTGCAACAGAATATTCAAAATCCTCATCTGCCCCCATCAATAATGAATATCTTCGTATATATAAAAAAAGAAAACAACCACCCGAGTGACTTTATAATTGTATTCCATATAATATCTGTAATAGTGGCTTTTTTCAGGATTATTAATTCCCATCGTCGTAATGGGGTAACAGCCAGATCTTCTGCATGCCCCAGCATAACTCTCTTGCCTTATAGCTCAGCATAGATATAATACGTTGATCAATAAAAAGAAAACCAGAAATAGATAATTCCAATCCAACAATTTAAGGCCCTTTTCACATCCCAAAATTACGGCATTGCAGAGGTCTGTCACTCTCCTCAGGATAATATTAACCACTACTTCGCCTCAACCATTTTTTCATATATTCAGTCATGTATTTTTAAAAATAACTGGCTTCGCTGTTGCTTAATTTAGAAATTTTTATTTTTGTGAGACCTGTTTCTTTTTTTCCTTTCTTTTTGTGGATTTGATCTCCATCCTAATTTCCTTTCTGCAAGTTGTATATCAACTGGTCGGTTTTCATTCTGATTTATGACTTGATCTTGATGGTTTTGCTTTTGTAACTCATATTTCTTTTCTATAAGTTGTGTGTCAATTAGTTGATTTCCATGGTTGTCTGTGACTTGGTGAGTCATCACGTTAGAATCCAATGGCACTTCTCTCTTATTTATAAATAGTCCAGCTGAGGTGTCTGAAGAATTCAAAGGCAATTCATCTACAAAGGCCTCTGTAACTCGATATTTTTCCTTTATTTCTAACTCCTTCTGCTTGTCTTGTGTTGTGCATAAAGATGTTAAGTTCATTTTTAAAAATTTTTGATAAAATTCTTCTGCTTTTTCAACAGTATTTAATTGATATCTTTCTCCTTGATATCTCAATATTATACCAACTGGAACATTCCATCTGAATAAGATATTTCTTTTTTTAAGCTCAGCCACCAGAAAACCAAATTTCTTTCTTTCCAATAACATCTTAGGCGGTAGTTCTTTATATATCCAAATCTTTCTTCCAAACAATTGCAAAGTAGACTTAAAAGATTTTTGCACAATATTATTTCTTATTTCTTTATCTGTAAAATAAATCACCACATCTCTAGGCAATTGCCTTTGCTTTGCAATCCAGGAGTTTATTCTATAAACTCTATCGATCCTACAAAATACCTCCTCAGGTTGAACCTTTAAAATCCCAGCCAGAACTTCAGAAGATATTTTCCTTAAGTCATCTCTATTATTTTCCTGTAATCCTCTCAGTCTAATCGCATATTCAGTAAAATTATATTGCATCATTAAAACTTCCTTTTCAATCCATTGTTGTATGTTTTCTACATTAAAAATCTTTGGATCAGCTTCCATTTTAGGTTTTTCTTCTAAACTATTGTCTTGAATGTTTATCAAATCATTTTCAATTTTTTCTATTTTATTTTCCAAATTGTCCTCAGTTTCCTCCATTTTAGACTCTAATAGATTAATATTTGTATCCAACTTGATCATAAATTCTGAGAAACCATTAGCCATTTTTATAATCTTTCGTTGTAAAATATCAAACTTTAATTGCACCAATTCTTTAATTTCCTGCTTAAATTTCTCAAAGTTCTGATTCATAATCTCATCCCTTCTAACAATCTCCTCCAGAAGAAATTCAATTATATTAAAATCAGTTTTCTGAGACTGTAAGTTAAGAACTTGTTCATATAGTTTGTGGATGGGGGAATCCCCCCCCCCCACTGCTTGTTTGTCCGGCTGTGTAAGCCTAAACGCCATATTTCCACACAGGCAAACTTAGAAAAGAAAAAAAAAGCAAAGTAAAGAGAAAAAAGCTTCTTTCCAAACGAGATCAATATCAAATCAAATCTCCAGGAAAGAGAAAACACAAAAGTGGAGCTTTTTCTTCAATTGTAGCCAAGAGTATTTACTCCGCTACTTTGTGGCTTAATAAAACGGAAGGACTTTCCCTTTTCAGCTTCCCTGCTCAAATTTCGGCAGTCGCCATTTTAAAAGTTCTTTTTTACTTTGTTCAATATCCTTTGCAAAATAAGTATAAATACTTGCAATTTAGGGTCACAGGTCCAGGTCCAGATCTCATCCTCTTTGCTTAATCTGTTAGTTATCTTGAAAAGCTTGTTTTCGTAGCCTTGCTCTGCAAAAATGCAGAGATCTCCCAACGCCCGGAGCAAACAGCGAGTGATATAGGGAGCCTCATCCGCTCGCCCCCAAGAGTAAAAAAAAACTCTGGGGGCTTCGCGGAAAGCTCTACCTACACTCACCTGCTCTATCTCACATTTCCTCCTGGAAATGGAGTTTTTCGAGCCGCCTTTCCGTTGTAAAGGCGGCTCTTCACAGGCAAAGGGGCTGGCGGTCCCAAGGGACCGTCTGGCGGCTACGAGAAGCCAAGAAAAAATATTAATATGACCAATAATTAGTATTTGCTGGACAGATTACATAGAATAATATAAAAATAAAATCCAAATCTGTCTATCATTAATATCTTCCTAACATGCTAGCTGACTTTTCTGTCTTCAAAAGAGTGGTCTTTGTCTTTTAAATGTAGATGGTCTGCTGAATCTTATCCTGATGGGTTTGTTCTCCTATGTTGTGCCATGAGTTTAAGAAGTGGTTGTTTTGTTTCCCCAATGTACAGATCTGCACATCTCACTGCACTGTACTGCATATACCACATTGTGCAACTCTGTACATTGGGGAAACAAAACAACCACTTCAAATTGATTCAAAATTCAAATTGAACAGCCCTCTCTCAACAGAGGGGGGGGGATAAGATATCATCTACAACATGGTGCTTTCAGCAGTTCCAGAATGCTTCACACCCTTTGCACTACTTAGGTGACCCTGAGGACACAGGGTCCTTCAAATGGCCTCTACAATTATCTAAAAGGATGCTAATGACCAGCTGTCTGCAAGAAATATAAATCTTTCCATTCCCTATCATCCAGTCAGAGCTAAAGAAGCTTCTTGGATAAGAAGAGAAATATCTTCAAAGAAAAAGCAAGGAAGTCCAGTTGCCTCTTGAAAAAGCATCTTTCGGACAACCATGATCTGGATGATTGAGAATCTTCATAGATATGATGATGGATGATATTAGCCAGTGCTTCATGTAGATATTTTAAACTGGAGCCAAGACAGCACCAAATCCTGCAGAACATCACGAAGTAGCGGTCAAGGATAGGAGCTCTCACTATGATCAATTGGAACCAGTTCAGAGGAAGAAGAGAACCAGCACAATACAGTGCCATTCACCTCCAATCACTTCAGCTGATCTAGAAGGTCACTATGGTCAATAGTATTGCAGGCTATTAAGGGATCAAGAAAAGCCAGGTGTACTAGTCTACATCCAGCTTACTCCAAGGGTTACACAAAAGGGTGAAAGTGCTGTCTCTGTCCCACATTTAGGTCAGTATCACATCGTACAATTTCTAATATATAAATATACACATGGATAACAGCCCTTATATGTTGTATTTATTGGCTTAAAATGAGCCTTTAATTCTATTCCATGGGACAGATTTTGGTGGAAGCTGTGTCTCATATTTATTGATCAGAGAAAATTTTATTTATATCACAACTTGTTCCAATAAATATGAGTAAGCTTACACTATGCAGTGCAGTCATGTCATGATTTATCATTTTTACAATATACATCATCCAAGGATCAGGTTGCAATACAAACAAAAAACGTGCCTTCGGAGTGAGTACAGAAGTACAAATATTACATCTCTGCTGCGGTACATTACCAAGTTCACTTAACACAATGGCTTAAAGATAATTTGGGAGAGGTCCTTTCAAAATTAGGATGTTGTGTACCTCACTTGATGGTAATGGTGGTGGATAGCAAAGTTCTGCTAGCAACATTTGATGTAGAATTTGTTTGATTTATTCCTCAGATCTCCAATTTCATAGAGATTTGGTGAGGAAGATAATCCATGCAAAAATTAAAAGGAACATAAGTGGGATTTGTTTAACAACTGTCTCATACAATGACTGTTTGTAATTACACCAGTAATGAAAAAATAACTCTGCAACCAATCATCACATGTATATCTATAAAGCAAAGAAATACTGAAGTAAGATCATAAAATGAAATTGTGTAGTTGCCATTTCACTTTAGTGGCTTCTTTGATTATATTACTGTTTTCTGATATTTAATATTGGGGGGGGCTACTTTGTGAACCAACAAACGGTTATAGCAGCAAGTTTAACAACTGTGGCACAGTGGATTCATGAGTCAACACTTCTACTTAATATTTATCTACTGGATATTGATTATGTCAAAAATCTATTGTTTTTCTATTCATTTCCGACCCTTGATCATAATAAAAACCCTCAATTTCATGATTTCATATGTTTCCATCAGATGATAATTCCCAGATGTTCTGCAGTCTTCCAAATCTGGTATTTTCAGAATTACAACCTTTAAAATTCCCAACAAGAACAGGAAATTTCAGTCACGGCACTTTCAAAATTCACCTACTTACAGAAGGCAGATGTAATAAGGCAATGATGAAAAAAATATCCAAATTATTTAAGCAAAGACTAAAAACTAAGCAAAATTATTATATTGCTTTTTTAGAAGCAGAGAATGGGAAGTACACAAGTCTTCCCAAACTTAATATGTTTTTCACAGCAAGTAGATTTTCCTCCCAGTCTGTAAAAATTAAAATCTGTGTGCCTATCAGAAAAGCAAAAGAGAATATAAGGGAAACATTAAGCATCCCTCTGCCTGCTTCTTTGTTTAAATCAGATATCCAAATTCAAAATTCACATACCAACGATAAGATTCTTCATAATAAAAATACTAGAAGGATCATCTTGTGACACAGACATTTGGAAAGAATTAGTGAGATTTTCACATCCACAGCTGGAAGTAATTTGCTAATAAATTTAATTAAGGTGCAAATCTCATATGGTAGAATATGATAAAATTCTTATAAACTAGCAGCCCAAGTTAAGAATTAAAAAATTAATTCTGTCCCGTCCATTTCAATTGAAAACTTAAGCACATAACTATATATAAATCTGTCCACTGGAAATCCATGAAACTAAAGATGCTTAAACACCTACTGAATTATACCCAAAATAATTATATAAGCATGACATTGAAAAGACTAATGATCCCTGTTGAAACAGGTTTATATTGCAATCTATGTAGGCAGGTTGAGTGCTACATATATATGCATTTATAAAGCCTTAATAAAATCTTTAAATTAAAAAAAAAAGTAAGGCAGAGTACATGTAAACTAACTCCAAATAACACATACTGTCCCATTGTTAATTTGACTAACCGTGGGTGAACAGATTTATTTATGGTATTTTAATGCCACCCAACTTCAAAGAGCTCCAAGCTGATTTGGCATTTTTCATTCACCATATGAATTTTTATAGGTTATTAAGTAATATATAATAGTCCAAGCATGTCACAGTTTAATAATGTGAAGCACATAGCCTGTGAAGAATTTATTCACATGCATAAACCTGATAAAATATACAAGTTTTTCTGCAATCTGACCATTACCACCATTACCATTATCAGCACTGCTGATTTAGTCTGATAAAGCAACTAGTAACTTACTGCACAGATAGTAACTAAAAGAAACTATTTTTTGACATATCTAGTGCCATCACATTACCATTTTAAAAGAGTTTTTTTCCACTCACACAAAAGGAAAAAACAACAGAATGTGACAATACTTGAAATTGACTTTTATCAACCAAAGCATTAGAATGGAACTGGAATGGGAATGGGGGTGGACTGGACTGACAGCATGGGTAGAAGGAGTTTGCTGAATTGGGGATAGGAAACTAAATATAAAGCCAAATGAATCTTGGTTGGATTAACCAAATTCGTAAGCCTGAGTTAACAAACATAGTTGTGTCCGCACATTTCCATACTACAGTGAAATGCTAACTACTCCACTCTAGACAAATTCTTGGCCAATAAAGAATTCTATTCTATTCTATTCTATTCTATTCTATTCTATTCTATTCTATTCTATTCTATTATTCTATTCTATTTCAGTTTAGCCTAGCTTGTTCCTAATAGTCAATTGCCTAAAGGATTCCAGCTACTTCATGATTACAGATTCAAATCTTTAGCAATTACACATTTTGAAACACCTTTTTTCTTTAAATATCCTTATCTTTCCTTGCTATAATGCAAATAGCATATGCATTACTAAATTGTCAGCACTAATGGATCAATAACATCTTCTCCATTTAAACTATTTCCTCATTAATTCCATGGTAAAAACTTGTGAGATTTAGTTTTCAGTTAAAATTACTTGCAAAAACAAAAGGTGTTCCTTTTGCCTGGTTGTTTGCTTGTAGATGTTTCATTTTCAAATTAGGTAACATCATCAATCAGTGCTATTGTGTGGACAGTTTGTTTACATATAACAACTTGCCCTGCCACTTTTGGTGGAAGTGTATTTTTCTCCTTGGTAATATTCCTTGATTAGGCTATTGTTTTCTGATTGACTGATAATTGATTTCCTGGTGTTAATCCTTGCTTGTCATTGTGTTGGCTGTAGGAGAGGAGAGGTCACATTTAACAAAAAACAACAACGCTACACTTTCTCTATTCTGTGGAATATTTCAATAAACTACACCTATGGTTATGAAAATAAAAGAGCTTTAAATTTACCTGATAGATGTCTGATAAACTGCTACTCCCAGAATCACTGGCAATACTGCAGCCAGACTGACTTGAAGGGACATGTGTCACCTGCGGATGTTGATTATCTGTGAGATGCATCTTGGTAAGGTCTGCTGGAAGCTGGAAAGAGGAGGGGATCAGTTATTAAATACAGTTGCAAATTCAACCAATTAATATTCTCTCTGGAAATAATTTGACAGTAATGTAAAAAACATAGGTAAACAACTTATTCTTCTTAAGAATAGAAAGTATCTTTTCAGTTTATCTTTTCTGTTTTCAGAATTTGTTTACTGTAAATATATATAAATTTATCTCTGAATGGCAAACTTCTGTAGCTAAGAATACTGGGTTGCACTTTCTCAAGGGTTTTAAACGATTAGCAATTGAGGAAAACAACAAAGAGACACATTTTCAAAATAAAATGTTGTTGTAAATTAAACATTTGAAGAATTATTATTGCCATTTGACTGAAATCATCGAGAATAAGTAGAATTACAATTGAATCTGAGTGAATGCAAAACACCTTACCAAATGGAGAAGTTCACTTTCTCATTCACTCAGACCTATTCTTTTATCTTGGGGGGGGGGGGGGGGGGGGGGGATTGGTTAAGTTTGCTAAGACTTGTGGATCTTTCCCAAATTGATACTGGACACAAATTAATTTGTAAACTACTTTTAGAAAATAAGGAGGTGATGAAACAGCAGCAAAAGGAACCAACAAGTAAGAGATACTGTCCATGTTGGTATTTTAAACAGGAATGGCTGGAAAGAGTACTTAGGTATATTTCTGTATCTTTACAGGTTGGTCCCTATTGTTACTTTGCTGCTGGTAGTTAAGTGGCTTAGTTTGCAATTCAGTAAGTTTTTATAAAGGATATTTGTGTGGTTGGAGATTTGTGGATATGTTGTATGTTCCTTTACTACTAAGAGATAAAAGGGGTTTTTTTGCTGTCTACTAGACATTTGCTGTCTACTAGACATTTCAGGGGATATTTAGCATTTTAGGGAAAAATCTAATGAATGTAATTGGAAGTAAATTTTAAATACAAGGATTACTTTGTTCTTAGGAATGAATACCTGCCTACCAAAAATAAGCTCTGAGAAACTGTATTTCTTTCAATGGTTACCACAAAAATATTTATTATTTTTATTTTTATGTATTTTATTTATATGTATACAATATATACATACTAGCCGGATACCCGTGCTTCGCTATGAAAGTATGTGATGGGGCTTGATAAATTGACACTTAAAGCTTGAAAATTAATGAGTAGTTATGATCAGCCTCTTCTCTCCCCTCTCTCCCTCAGCCTTGCCCCACAGAAATGTCTATCCCCTTCTCTCCTTCAGGCTTGCCTATCCTATCCTATCCTATCCTATCCCCTGGTTGCTGCTGTAAAAGTAAAACTGAAACAAAGTCCTCTCCTCTGCTTGTATTTTGCATTTGGAACAGATTTCTCTTCAGGTGGGGAGGGGGAAGAGAACTCCTTAGCATCAGAGGGCTGTTTGGAAAGTGAAACAGTATTTGCTGTGTGAGCAAGGAGACAGGAAGGAGCCTGGCCGTAGTTTAGCTCAACTGTTCTGTAGTAAAGCTGCTTGCTGCTGTGAAAGTAAAACTGAAACTGAAACTCCTCTCCTCTGCTTATGTTTTGCATTTGGAACAGATTTCTTTTGAGGTGGGGAGGGGGAGTAGAACTCCTTAGCATCAGAGCGTGTTAATAATAATATATGAAATACTAATGCTCTGATGGTCATTTTGAAAAATCCTTTCTTAGTGAGCACCTAGAAGCCAAGAGGAACATACATGGCAATTTCAAGTTTGTAGGCTTTACGGTTCTGGAGATTTCGTGATTACAGCATGAGTGGTTTTCGCTTTTATATATATAGATATATAGTTTATATGTATTAATATTAAAAGCTTGAATATTTTAATATTGATAATTTTTACATGTACAGATTACATTTTAATTATTTTATTAGCTTTTATTTTGAGCTTTATCCAGATAAATAATGTGAACTGACATTATCTACTGTAAAGTAGATTGTTTAGTCATTAGACAAATAGTTTCAATCAGCGCCCTCACTGATGGCCCAAATACCAATGTTTAATAGATTTATGCCTATAGAATGGATATGTTACAAATGGACCACTAGAACTTGATATGAAAGTAGTCCCTTAGAAGCTTCAGCCTCAGTTTTAAATAATTGCTAATCCAAATCCTTAAATGTGGTGGCAGTATAATTTGATATTGAAATTCTTAAAGAATTGCTCAGAATACAATTGTTTATAGGAATTGTTGATTCTAGCTTACATAAGTAAAAAAAGTCATAGATTTTTAAAATAAATTTACAAATGTGATCATTACTGTGTTTCCCCAAAAATAAGACCCTGTCTTATATATTTTTGAACCCCGAAATAAGCACTTGACCTTATTTTCAGGGAGGTCTTATTATTTTGAGGGCGCATGGCGCAAGATGGGGATCCTCTTGCTGTCTTACCTGATTTCCAGCTCTGCCTCCCTAACCCTAACCAGAGGAAATGGTGGGGACTGGCTGCACATGAGGTTAAATATTTTCGGGGGAGGATTTATTATCCAGGGAGGATTTATTTTTGGGGAAACACAGTACTACAATAATGGTTTACTTTTCAGCATATCAGGGTACATTTTTTTAAAAAAAGAAATTTAATACACATTGGATATAAAGATACTTAGGAGGTCAATAGTCACAACAAGCACCAAGTTGCTTTTTGTTGGGCTACTTATCTTACTTAAACCATTGTATGTATTGAGATATTTCATTTGCTTTATCTGTTCAATAGACAAAGTGGATATTGAATTCAATACCTTTTCAGCCCTCTTGGCTACAAATGGAAATAACAGAAATTAGAGTCAGATTCCACTACACACACAGAGAGAGAGAGAGAGCTACTTAAGCAAAAGCTATTTTCAAAAAATCATTCCCAGAAAATACATCATCATTTGAAGTCAAGCCAAAGTGTGGAATCATCTTTAAAATGCTCCTTTGCAAAGCATTTTGCTTTCTAAATTTTATGAAAGTTTGCAATTGTACTCTTCTTTTCACAGCAGCTTAATAACTGCTGGCTTAACATAACATTTTTTAAAAAACATTTTTAACTGGTTTGTCATTTTAAATTGGGGCCAAATTAATATATATCCTTTTAATTGTTTTTAATGTTTGTATTGTATGTTTTTAGCTGGCTGTACACTGCCCTGAATCCCTCGGGAGAAGGTGCGGTATATAAATTCGAAATAAAATAAAATAAAATAAATAAAATATTGTCATATATATCAGTAAAATATCAACTCTGATGTGGAAGATAGCAAAGTGGTAGACAATTTCTGCTTTTCAGAATTAACTTTCAAGAGTAAAGGAATAGTTAAGAAATATGCCATAGACTAGCATTTGGTACAGCCTTGGAAAAAAATATTCAGACACCATGAAGTGTCTATACCTACAAAAATCAGAATAGTGGAAACAATGTTCCCTCTGACACAAGTGAAAGTTGGTCTTTAAAAAAGCCGTATGAGAAGAGTATTAACGGTGTTCAAGTGTCGTAGAAGACTCTTGAGAATAACGTGGACCAGGGGTGAAATCCAACAGATTCTGACAGGTTCTAGAGAACCAGTAGTGGAAATTTTGAGCAGTTCGGAGAACCGGCAGCGGAAATTTTGAGCAGTTCAGTGAACCAGCAAATACCACCTCTGGCTGGCCCCAGAGTAGAGTGTGAATGGAGATTTTGCAATATCCTTCTCCCAGGAGTGGGGAGGGAATGGGGATTTTGCAGTATCCTTCCCCTGCCACGCCCACCAAGCCACACCACACCCACCAAGCCACACCCATTGAACCGGTAGTAAAAAAAATGGATTTCACCACAGCTGTGGATGCCAACAAACATATGGATCTTTAAACAAACTATATTTCTAACAGGATTCTAACTCAAATTGTCTTACTTTGAGCACATTATGTGAATGCCTAGCTATCTGGAGGAGATTCTAATGCTGGCAAAGGTGGAAGGAAGAAAACATTACATCACCGGTAGACCTGAAAAGTCAAGTTAGGGACAGACTGTCATGAAGACAATCTATCTTTATGGTCTCTAAGAATTGACAACAACTTGATGGCACATAATCAAAATTATTAAAACCATTATTATATCCTTAAATCAATATATACAGAAGAGATCAACTCAAATTTGAAATACTGTATTTCCCATATTTTAATATAAAATTAAAATATCTGGTTCAGAGATAGAGTGTTCTGCATTATTGCTATTAAAATTTGCATTTTAAGATACGCATTAGTGGCTCTACCTGAAATAAGGTAGTAAAAAACTTCTTTTCCAGTGAAAAGATTTCAAATGCATTCGGAATTCTTCAGTTTAGATGAAAAGTGTGAACTTTTTTAAAAAAAGAAAATTGAGCTCAGACCAAAAATCTCTAAAACAGTATTTTCCAGAATACTTCTGCTAAGGAACAACAGATGCTAATTAGTGAAATTGTTCCAAGGACATTAGGAAGTTTCCAAATTTGGATAGTAAAAGTAAAATCAGCTTCCAACAGATTGGGCAGAATGTCAGCCTGCTTAAAATAACAAGGAAGCAAGCTGGGGGTTGGAAGGTGATCATTTCCCTGACTGAGAATTGGATTTCAGACTTCTCATCAGATGACTATCCGATATGCATTGATATGACCGCTTTAGGGAACCACAAAGTCAAGTTTGAACCATAACACCTTGTATATAGTACAACAGCCTAACTATTCTCTTTGTGCCTAAATACCAAATACTGGCTCATAGAATTATCGTGGGAAATCATGCAGGGATGCGTGAACAAATGAGTTAATAATTCTAGCGTAGAGAAAGTTACTACACATATGTTAGCATTAAGCAAACATATGATGGTCCATCAAAACTGCTTTTACAATAGTTCACAAAGTAAAAATAAAAATAATCCAATAGCAGTATCTAAAACTATACACCCAACTGTAGATGTGTTTGTTTTGAAAGTTAGACTCCTGGTTATTTTAATGAGATAAATGCCTCTTGCATCTGAGATGGAATAACATTTTAATTAGATGTTTAGGAGTAACAATGTCTGG